CCCCCCCCCCTTTTAAAAAACCTGGCTACCCCCCCGCCTGTGGTTTTTTTTTTGGGGGGGCCGTTCCTTTTTTTTGGTTTTTTGGGGGGGGAGGGGGGGGGGGGGGGGGGGAGCAGGGGGCGGTGCTGGGGTGCCCATGAACCCTTCGCTTTGTGCACTCTTTGTACATTACCTGTATTTTCGGCGGAGTGTGAAAGGTCATTTAGCACGATGAACCGCCTGAACACGTGCTTAAGAAGCACCATGACCACGGAAAGACAGCCGGGTCTGGCAATGATGAACATCCACTATGGTTGAGCGATCGACATTGATGAGATCGTTACTCATCTTTGCTACTTAGCATCCACGCTGCCTCTTACTAAAAGACATTTTGACTGATGAGCAGTGAGACTAAAAGAGAATAATTTATGTTACCTGGAAATTAATTCATATATGAAGTTATTTTGTGGGCTTGTCCCTCATGTTCATTGTCATCTGACATACCAATCTTGTAAGTACCTTGGGTGTAACAAAGTATGACACCTTCCCCCCCTCCCCCCTTTGAAAAATCCCCTTTTTTCTCTAGTTATTGGCCCCCTTTTTGCCTTTCGGCTTGGCTTACGACAGTCCCCCTCTTATCTTTGACTTTTAATTAGGTTTCACAGAATCCGCTTCCGTACTCAGTGTTAACACATTTGCACATCAACTGTTTACACTAAAATGGTTCGCCGAGAGTATACATGCAGATCACATCCTTTCATTGGTACATTCTTAGACTAAATTGATACAACGGCGGTATCTTTTTAAACTACAGCCTTGGTAGCTGATAGGTGGTGGATTAGAATTCTTCCAAGACCAGAAACGAGAGAAACTCTACACGTTATATAGAGAAGCAATCGCATGGAACAGTTTAACGAACAAGGAAACAGCGGCTAAAACCTTGAAAAATTTAAACGCGGTCTTGCAAAATTTGCACGGATAAAACGAATTTCGAACGTATTTTAGGTGCAACTAAAATCAGAGATATCGCGGTTACAAATGTTTGTAATAGCTTTCAATTTTTAATTGTACATTTGTTTTCAGTGATTCAATTTTTTCTCGTAACTGTTGTATGCACGACCCCACCAGCAATGCTGATCTTCTTATCGTGTTAAAATCTGAGTACTTTGGAAGCACACTATTAGTTTATATCAGCACCTCAAGCGATTACGTTGACACCTGGTGGTGTCTCAGAAGGTTTATCCCCCGTGGGGGGGGGGGGGGGGGGCTGCTTTTTTTTCGTGTATTCATTTTTTTTTGCTACTGTTTGTGTGCCCCCCCCCCCCGCCATTCTTGTTTTTCTTTCTGTTTTAAAATTTGGGTATTTTGGAACAACATTTTTTTTTTTTATCACCCCCCCAAGGGTTTTCGTTGACCCCGGGGGGGTTCCAAAAAGGTTTTCCCCCCGGGGGGGGGGGGGGGGGGGTACTGCCATAGATAGGCTATATAGGTATGTGCCGCTGTGAAGGGTATTGTTTTCAAGCAGTTTACTCAGGGATGGGGTATATAAATCAGAGCGTTTGAGTGAAGAAGAGGGTATCATTTTCCATTTAAACTGATCAATTGGCTGAAGATTTTAGTCTAGACCAGGGAAACCGGGAACTGCCACTCAAGAATATAAAAAAAATCAAATCGGTTTTGTTTTGGCTGGACTGTGCTAGTGACCTCAGTTGTTTCTGGAAAACAGCCTCTATAGGGTAGGGAGGGGGGGATTTGGGAAGTTTAGTCTAGTATAGAGTAGCAAAATTCACTTGAACTAGCTCTGGTATAAGCTAAGGTTTCCATGGTCCCAGCGGTACATCTCCACCCAAAAGGCCTAAAGTTCCCCCCCCGGGGGGTCTATCCTGCCCACCTTCTTCTCCTTCTTCATTGTGAGATTCACCACCTTTCTCTTATCCTTGAAATTTACCATCTTTTTCCTGCGCCCTTTCTAGCTTCCCCTTCACGCCATCAACTGTTTTATCTGAGCCGACTTCAATGAACATTAGCTGTGCGCTAGGGACGGTGTACAAGATTTTCGACGGCTCCTCGCCTTCCACGGGGTAATTGGCCTTTTTAGTTTGACAGTACTTATGAGTAGTGCAGGTTTGGCATGTTGGGAGAAGGATCATGTACCTGATGTCATGGTCGGACGACTGAAACGTACCGTAGACATGAGCTGTGGCCCCTGCTTTTTGAGCACGAGAAGGACCACGATGCTGATTACATTTTGGGTTGGTACAGTTGAAGACACAGCACAGCATTGTGAAGATAACACTCTCTGTACATTTCTTCCATAATTCTCCAGCTCTTAATTCGCGCGGTCACTGTTTTTTAGTCTGCTCAGGTATAAGCTCAGGTAAGGCAATAGTTTTTGAAAGAGAAAGGAAGTTTCTCTTTGAGTGGAAACTCAGAGTTAAAGGAAATTACTTATTAAAATCGCAATGCATGGGGAAAATAACCACACAGCTTGCAAAAACAAGTAAAATTAATAAGGTGAGGTGTATTTTATTCTAGCGAGTATTTATCTTCTTGAAACGTTTACTTGAATTCCCTTACAAATCCTTTATGTCCTATGTTCACGGCCATTTTAAGTATTACGCACTAGGAAACCACATGTATTAATGATGGAACTCTCATACTAAACTTGGGCGGCATGTGGTATACATGTATTTGGTACTTGATTAGCCAAATACCGTAAAATTCCAAAATAAGCCCCTCCATTTATAGGCCCCTCCAAATATAAGCCCCCCAAAATCGTAACGCAAAAAACCCTCCGTTAAATCGCCCCTCCGATATAAGCCACCCGGGGGGCTTGTACTTGGAATTTGCCCTTGAATACAAAGTAAAACAAAGTTAAAATGGTAAATTTTCTTTCCACTACAAGCTAGCCCAATCGATTTTGAAACGCAAATTTCCCTCCGTACATAAGCCCCTCCGAATATAGGCCCCTCCAAAAATAAGCCCCTCAAAAAGGGCCTTTGAAAAGTATAAGCCCCGGGGCTTTTTTTCGGAATTTTACGGTATCATCCTGGTGCCTTTGGTAAGCCATCTATCTTAATTATAGACGACAGACAGACAGACAGACAGACAGACAGACAGACAGACAGACAGATAGATAGATAGATAGATAGATAGATAGATAGATAGATAGATAGATAGATAGATAGATAGATAGATAGATAGCTTTATAAAACATTATAAACTATCTACAAAATAAAAATATTAAATAAAAAGCTGCTTAATGCCGTGTCCTAGAGTACTTGTTTAAGTAGACGTTTGAATTTGTTAAGGGACGCTGCTTGCCTCACATTACATAGGAGCATATTCCATAGAATGGCGCCATTATAGCTAAAGCTATTTTTGTAATAATTTGTCCGTGTGGTAATGGATGCAAAGTTTATTCTCAGAATCCCTGAGGTTATATGCCGTTTCTCGTATTGCAAATCGTGGCTTTTTCAATTTCATGTTGGCGCGATAGATTTTTCTACCCTGGGAGTTCAAGTAACCAGCGTCTTCATTATAGTCTGAAAATGTCAAAACACGGACTGTTCTATTTTGTAGTGTTTGAGATTTGTTCCTAAGGGTTATCCCACAGTTTCTCCAAACTGTGTTGCAATAATTGAAGAGAGGGTGTATAAGAGCTAGGTATATTAGATGTAAGGTCACTTGGGAGACAAAGTGCCTTACTCGCTCATGGCCCCGACGCCAGAACTGAAGACTTCCTTTATTATCTCTGTCTATTATTTCTATCACCAGCGTTCCGTATTTCTTATAAACTCAACCTGTAGACCTGTCATACTGAATCTCCAACTGGTTGATATGTACAAGAACCTTGAAAAGGGACAAGAATGGTCTTCCCACTGTCTTGGTAAGTCAAAACACATGTACCCGGTTATGAGTCACTGAGTAGTTTCAACTCTGGGCTACCGATGGCTATAAATATATATGATTCTCCCAAAATTTAGGATTATCCTAGATTTAATTATCTATTTCGGAGTTTCCTTTCTATTTTGATTTAACTAATTTCTTCCTTTTTTTATCATTTGATTTAAGGTGTTTTCGATACAGGTTTTGGGACATACCGATCTTAGTTTTTCAATCGCCTTAAAAATGATTTTATCCTCGTCCGATTGCTAAAAGATTTTCACCAGTGGTTAACTATGAACTGAAGTTTGTCAAAATGCAGTTCTTAGTAAAATTGGTATCACTATGACAACAATGCGCAAAAAACTTTGAAATCAATAAATCCGAATTTTGTGCGATCTAGACCTAGCCCATATGCACCATTGTTAAGATATAATTGACCTATTGTGACTCATACTTTCATGTCATGAAACTCGACCTCCTTAAATGATGTAAAGACTCGCGGGAAGTTTATTTAATTTAAGGAATCCAAGAGGGGGCGTTTAATGAATAGGAGGCGTTTATCCTCAGCTGAAACAAGCTCAACAAAACCAATATGCTCACGACACGAATATGAATAGAGTATATTACATGATAACAGAATGTCCCCGGAAAAAAGCCTCATTCAAACTCCACTCACATATGACGTCGACACCATGATTTGAACCTGGGCCATATTGGTGGGAGGCGAGTGCTCTTATCACTGCGCATGCACCACCTTTGCTCTCCCGCCCCCCGCCCTTACTAAGTGGTTTCAACTTATTTTCTGTTTTAACTTTGCACTTTATTTGAGTTTCAATGTATTTAGCACGAAAGTACCAATTGGAGACACTATTTTTACATCTCCTGATAGAGACGGGACCGCCATTTGAAGTGGTCATTCGAGCCACGCGAAGAGGGCAAAGGCAGTACCTTCATTTCTCAGTCATTTTAAGAACTCGAGTGTTGGTCCAGTCCCGGGAATTGAACCCGCGAGCTTAAACGCTCTGCAGTCAAGCGATCTACGTACCGAGTGAGCTAATACTGCTGTGATATAGCTAATTTCCTGTTGGAAAAGATGGTACCGCTTTCTCGACTGGTGAGCATAAATGATCAAAACCGATAATGATTTGCTCTCTCAACTTTATCGTGGTTTGCTTTGAAGCGGAACTAGTTCTTTTATTGTCTTCTTTTCTAGTTTTTGGTCCCCTTTCTTCCTTTTCGTTTGACTTACGACAGTCCCCCTTTTATCTTTGAATTTCATTTAGATTTCACAGAATTCCGCTTCTGTACTCTGTTAACACACCATGTGCCCATCAACTGTTTAATACACTAGAATGGTTCTTTGAGAGTAGTAATACCACTTCATTTTATTGGCACATTTCTAGACTACATTGATATAGCATTGGTACATCATTGGTACAGTGGATTGGTAGTTGATGCGAATACATTGTATGGCCGACACTATTAACTCATTTCGGCGCTCCGATTACCTGAGCACCTTCTGGCGGTCCTACGTCCGCACCTTCTTCTCCTTCCTCATCATCCTCCATTTCAGATCCTTCTTCGTCATCTGGTTCACCGACGACTTCAAAATCACCACCATCTCCTGCACCCTTTCCAGCTGCCCCTTTACCAGAAGCTGTTGCAGGTGAGATTTCAATGAACATCAGTTGTGCGCCAGGCACTGTGTACAAGGTTTTCGCCGGCTCCTCGCCTTCCACTGGGTGATTGGTGAGGGTTTTTGCACATTGCTTCCAATTATTGCATTTACTGCAAGTAGGCAGGAGGATCATGTACTTGATATGTTCGGACTGAAACCTGCCGTACACATGGGCTGTGGCGCCTGCTTTTTGAGCTTTATCAAGATTCGGATTACATTTTGGGTTAGTGCAGTTGTAAACGCAGCATTTCTCCTCCCTGATACTTTTTCCCGTACATGCTTTCCATAGACCCCCAGCACTCTTCCCGAGCGCACGTTTTCCAGTCTTAAGTACGGCAATGGTTTTTGGGCGGTCACCGGTTGTCTTCCTTGCATGAGTAAAGGCCAATGAATAGTCTTTTTTCAGTTTAACTGTTCCGTCACACTCGACATCATCAAAGGCTCTGTGGATAAAACAATTGTTCATTGTCTCGTTTACAACCGATTTAAAAACAAATGGATCAACGTACATGTGTCTACACTGTTTTCACTAAACTGTCAGACGATCACTCGGCGTTTCACAAATCAGTTTTCCTCAGCCGCACGAACTGATGTAGATAAAGCTTAGGATCTGAGGAGCTGACGACTAGTTCAGTAGAACCCTGATGGCGATATGCCAAGGGAGCAGTAAACTTATATCGTTGTATCGAGGAATTCGGTTGTATCCGCGACATTCCCGATATAGCGATATGGCCGTAAAATAACCGAAAATATCGTTTTTCTTTTACCGAGGTAAACCTAACGTGTATTCTTTTACTGTATATTATTTATTCAAATTTGTAATGCCGAGTATATCAAATGACTCATAAATGTAACATTTAAAGCACTAAGCAATGTTCTAGACTGCAAAACAGTCGGGTTTTTTTTCTTAAAATCGTCGGTTCGTGCCTCCTTGAATACGCAAAAATACGGACTGTTTTGCAGTCTAGCAATGTCCTTATGCAAGACACTAGAAGCTTTCACTGTCAGTGATCGTCTTTACTTCTCGAGTTTCCGTGTTTATTGTTTTAAAAAAAAAACAGTCCAAAATCAGGCCTTGAAATCCTTCAGCAAACGTGTACGTTTTATCACAAGGAGTCAAAGATACTGAAACTAAAAGAACTACTGAATGACAAGGAGGGTAAAGAGGATTAAAAGAGTAGGCAGTGCTCGTGACAGAGTCTAAAGAGGTTTAGAGCACAGTGTCACACAAGGCTGTTCACAACGAAAGAGATTACTCGATTACTGTAATGTTATTGAATTTCGCCCAAAAATCATGTGAAAACGTCATAAACGCCCAGCTTCGAATAAGCGCCCGCTCGCACAGTTCCAAAATTTAAAAGTGCCCAAGTGCCCAGGGCGCTTAATCAAATGATCGTTCAAATGATCGTTCTTGAAGCTCAAGAACGATCTCGTAAACTCTGAAAAACAAGGCAAACTGATTATTCGTTTATGCTGACGACACGCAGATATTATTCCTTGGAGCCTTTATCGGAGACAATATAAACCTTTAGTTTTTCTCTCCTTTGTCGAGACCAGTACGTAGAACAGCAATCAGGCTATTTCTAGAGGCTGAATATTTGGCAGTTTTGACAATTAATTCTAGCCAGATAATACAAACGTCCGTATGTGCAAGTGGTGTGTGTGCATGTGTGCGTGAGTATGCAAGTACTATGTCATTTTACTAAGCTACTTTGGAAATACTTTTTGTTCTAGTTTTGTAGCTTTGAACGTCAAGACATATATATAGTAGGTGATTTTAAAAAAAGCATTGTGAGCAAGTACATCATGGAAATGTAGTTTATATGCATGGTAGATCTGTATTATGTAAGTTATGTGTTATAAATGTAAGTAATGTAAGCAAGGGTAGGTAAATAAACAAAGTATTAATAATACTGTAACAATAATAATAATAATGATAATAATTAAAATTATGTTAAGGAAAAATTGGCCACGTCTTCGAAGTACAGTGTCATGAAAGTTGAGATTTTACTACTAATTGGGTTAGTGAACAAAGTTCAGCTGAAGCTGCCACTCTCGAAGTCTAGAAAACTAGATTCTCTTCATACTTTAGCACTGGTCATCGGAAACATTCATTCAGTTCTCTAGTTAAGTTCTATTCATAAAGAAGCTGTTTCACGCAAACATTCATTCAGTTCTCTAGTTAAGTTCTATTTATAAAGAAGCTGTTTCACGAAATTTATCAAAACTCAATCAGTGGAAACCGCCACGAAATCGAGTGAAACATGGCATAACTGCTCAAGGCAAAACGTGAAAATAAGGCGGTATAAATAACACGGCCGAGCGAGGCAAACACAATGATAGACACGGATGGACAAACTTTAAGAAGATTGAAATGGATTGCAATTGTGGTGTTTGAAAACTTGGTTAACACCCTAACAGTTTTTCAAAGTTTGTTGTTTACAGCACTTTATGTAATGCTTAGTAAACATATTTGTTTGGCACGAAGCTGTGACGATTTTGTCATTAAAAAGTACAGTAAAACTTGGATTAATTCAATTCAGTTCAATTCAATTTTATTCACACTTTCATAAAATATTTACAATATATATAGCAAGTTAGGAATACACTAATGGAGAAGAAGAAGAAGGAAAAAAGAAAATTAATGGTTTGGATAGAAGTGTACGGTGGTCAGAGGAGCTTAGCTTTCGAGCCAACCACCGTTAAGCGTGCTAGCAGAGCGCGGCCTCTTTTCCAAAATATTGAGGTCCCGCCTGCCAAATACCGGGGAAACGAGGCTTCCGCTAGCAGGGTATATAGCCAGTCCACTTAATACTGGGTGTTAGCGTAATACAACAGATACAGGTTTCAATAGAGAATGTCATACGAGGAGCCAAATACCATCCAAATAAAGACAATGAACGGCGGAAATGTTTGGACAAAATCAAATGGAGAGCCGACACACCCTTCTGAATAGACAAGAGCTGACAAGGACAGTACTTTATAGTTCAAAATGTTTTGCAGCAAAGTGATCTTACGAACTAAACTTCCGAATAATCCGCAGATCGACTTTCAACCACATATAACAGTTATAAGATGTTCGTGAAAACATTGATCTAGGTATAAAACAACGGAAATCCAACATTTTACGCCACCTGAATGACTAAGCATTTTGCAGCATTTTGTTTGCTCTTCAGGGTGCTGCTCGCTTCTCACCGCGCTAGCAAGAAAGCCAACGCAGATCGGCCGGGTTCCGGATGCTGTGTGGGTGAGGAGCCTGGTTTACAATTTGACAAAGCTATTTATTATTTATACTACAAACATCTTTGAAAGTTTGATGTTCAACCTTTCGCAATAAATGTCCGAAATTACCAAAACTTTGTTCGAAGTGATTGGTTTGATTTCAGCCAGTTGATCGTCCGAAAATCTTTAAACTCACACCAAATGGCTTCCGAGAGTTTGCTAAGACTGTCACAAACATTCTGACTAATGTGATAATATTTTTCGTTCCAATTCTGACAAATGTTCTGAGGAAGTATGAATTAAAGCATTTTATTTAAAATAAATGTAAAATAATTGGTTACTCTCTCAGTGAAGGTCAGTTTTTCACCAAGGAGGTCGGTACACACTATAGGCGACAAGTTCCATCAACACGTCGGGGCTAACCTGAGATTAGGGTTTTTTTTTTTGCGTCTTTGTTTCTTTGAGAGACTTAAAGGGATAATAGGGAGAGGGCATGATCTCAGGCTACGTCGGGGCGACAGATTACTCCATGTGTACAGGTCGGGCGACTAGTTGCAGCAGCAAGGTGAGGCGACACGTCGCAGCGACAAATCGCTTCCTGTGTACTGGAGAATTTTTGTGAAAATCTTTGTCTCCGAAACAGAATTTTGTCGCTGCAACAAGTCGCAAAAAATCATGTCAGACTGAATTTGTGCGACTTGTTGCGGCAACAAAATTCTGTTGCAGCTACAAAGATTTTCACAAAAGTTCTCCAGTACACACGGAGCGATTTGTCGCTGCAACGTGTTGCTGCGACATGTTGCTGCAACTTGTCGCCTAGTGTGTACCGACCTTAAAATTAAAAGAAACGATTCCTTACTTTTCAAAGTCTTTCCATTCGAGCTCAAAGCCTTTGAGGGATTCAGCGGTGATGGGATCAAATTGGTCTTTCCGTCCTTCCCCGGCCATGGATTCAGGTTGTGTCGTATACTGCCCGGTTAAAACTTCCTGTTTATGTGTTCTTGTGTTTTCGTGCTGATGGCCTATCATTTGCAGTGATTAGCTTCCAGATTTTCCGCATTGACTTTATTCGAATATTTGACACTTGGCCTATGCATGTGCGTAACCGCTTTCGTTAATTGTGAGTTACCGGTAATATGGTTAGTTATCACACGTCCTCATTCAAAATGGAAATAAATTACTAGCAAGTGACAGAATCAAATAAAGATGTCTCCCAAGCATTATATCAAACATTACAGACGACAAAAACGAACTTTGAACAACTGTTGAGCTAACAGGTCCTAACAAGTTTTCAAAATCAGTCAGGCACGGATCCACACCGGTTTCCACCGTTTTACGAAAATCGGTCAGATTTTTATTAACAGGCTCCTGTCATATATAAATATATTTTGAATGAAAAAAAAAAACCTGTCTGAAAGACTTAGAAAACTATAGCAAAGGTGACTTTACGGATTTAAAATCCAAATCATTTCACGGGTTTGCATGACCCGGACCCCCGGGGGGTTACTCCCATACATTACCTATACGGGTATGTGCCGCCCAACGGGGTCGTGATTTTGAAGCTCCTGATTTAGAACGGGGTATCCATTTCGGAGGCATTTTCTAGAACGGGGTATAATATTTCGAACGCACGAAAGCTCCAGTTTTGTTAGCAGCCATTTGAAATTATTCAAGGACAGATTGCTTTTAAAAATACGGTTCAATGCGTTAACAAGCAAACTGTTGTATTCTTCGCACCCTAGAACAGAGTATAAAAAATTGGCCCATTTCTAGAAGGGGGCATGAGTTTTAGGGCGAATTCTAGAACGGGGTATCAATTTTAGGGGAAATTATTTTTAGAACGGGGTGCCAATTTGGAGTCCCGGGCGGCACATACCCACCCAAAAAATACCCAAGTACCCCCCCGGGCCCGGACCCCAAGAACTGCAAGAAGCTAGTCTGTTATGCATGACGACACTAAAAAACGGCTGTGTCAGTGTAGCAGACTATATTTATCCTAGATCGGCGCATTCGTTTTAATCTTCTTCAAATCTGTCAATATTTTGAGCAGTTAGTTTTATATTTCATTCAATTTGTTGACATTTCCCACCGTTTGAATTTCGATGTATTTCGTGACACAGCTCCTTAGAAGTCTGAAATCCAAAATACTGCGTAGCTGCTAGAGCTGGAGGGATTGGAATGGGTCGACTGAGAGAGGCGCACGCGCGCCACTTAAAAAAAAACAAAATGTTCTGTTCTTAAAATCTGGGAACTTAGAGTTAAAATATCGGTTTTTAGTGATATTCAAAATTCGTTCTGCCCTAGTAGTGCCGAATATGTTCTGACTCGTCTCCACCGTCTCTCGATCTCCCTAGTCGCGCGTGGTGTGTACGTGCGAAGACGACTGGGAACGATTCACAATACGGGCGAACAGTTTCAACAGAACTAAATCTCGCTGGAATCGCGCTGAAACGGCCAAATATGTGAAGAACATACCATGAATATAATAAGTAGACAAGGTAGGATGTTACAATACAGCAACAGTTTCAACAGAACTAAGGCCTCGCTGGAATCGCGCTGAAACGGCCAAATATGTGAAGAACATACCATGAATATAATAAGTAGACAAGGTAGGATGTTAATAGGTATTTTTGTTGCTATTTTTGTGGCCTAAAAAACATCCCTTAAATCCCCTAACAACCCTTTTTAATATTTCTGTTATGCAACGATTTTCACTCGTGCGCTTGGGGTACCTGTGGTTTAAGTCTGGAAACGAAAGCGGTTGGCGGTCTAGCAAAAAACTGACAACGTAAGACGGTTTGCGGAATGTTCGACTCCCTATAATAGACCTTCTCATTATGCATAAGTGTGATAATGTATTGTTTTATTCTTGCCCAGCTGTGAAATGTTATTTTTCATGACTTTACTGGCTCCAGCACGATGTACCAGGGGCACCTAACGAGAATATAGTTCAAAACCACTTAAACATAGTATTGTTAAAAGTGTTTTAGTATTTAAACGGTCGATATGGACATATTTTTATCCCCTATAAATTTTTCATCTGTTCGAATTTCCTAGCTGAAAGTCTAGTGATCCGAAAATTATAGGGATCAAAACTTACCCGTTCAAAAATTTCAGCCAGAAAAAAGGCTCCCGAAAATTCTAGGTGACCTTTTTAGCGTAAAAATCCGTTGAAAATGGGCAATTTTACCATTTTTTGGATGTTCGAAAATCCTAGGAGAGGCAGGCAAGCAAGAAATTTTACAACAAATGTTCCGAAAATTCTAGATCTCAAATCGTCTTCCGAACAGATATTTTCCCGAAAATTGTCCTTGGGTGCCCCTGATGTACGTTAGTTGGACTGATCCACGGCTTTCGAGTCAAAGTCAAGCTCAAATTCCACTGAGTTCCAAGCGTCAAAAGCACAACGTCTACCGATAAACTACGCCATACAGAGATGTCGAAAGGGAATATCCGTACGTTTCCACTGACCTCTCAGAACCCCTAACACATTACAGTCACATTATAGTCAATTCTGTGGCCAATTATTAGGCTCGAACGTAGCCAGTTCAGTATAGACACCATCTTTTGATCTCTTAGTCACTTAGTCACCCCACAGGCAGACCACCCTCTGTTAGTGGGGGCCGTTGTTGATTGAAATCTGAGCAACGATCTTTTGTTATTTATAGAAGAAATACATATGAACAATACGGTGGCTATAATTTGTTCCAAAATGCAGAATTCAAAGCAAATTTTTCAACAAACGTTTGAGGAAAATGCTAACTGAGCCATGTGTCATGTTTTTTTCGCCGTCCTGTGCTTTTTTAAGCGCTATTTTGCGAGATGAATATTTGACCTCGGCGGTTCGTCTCGGAAAATAGCGCTTAAAACAGCACGGGACGGCGAAAAAAACATGACACATGACTCAGTTAGCATTTTCCTCAAACGTTCATTGAAAAATTTGCTTTGAATTCTGCATTTTGGAACAAATTATAGCCACCGTATTGTTCATATGTATTTCTTCTATAAATAACAAAAGATCGTTGCTCAGATCTCAATCAACAACGGCCCCCACTAACAGAGGGTGGTCTGCCTGTGGTCACCCAATCTTGGTCACATTTTTCTTATCCCCAAAATTCAGAAAATGTGCGACCCCATTTTGTCAATCCAGTTGTGAAAATGCGACCCCATCCAGCGGCACCTATTACTTAGAAGAACCCTAGATGATCAGACTTAATAAATCTTCCCGGGAGACACGCATAAAAATGCCCTATAAATACTTGATTAAACATATTCGGCGCGCGGTATGTAGTATTACGGGGCGAGGGGGTGGGGGGGGGGGGCATATTACGCAAACCCATGTTCTGCATAAAAGCCCTCATCGCTTACTTCACCTTGTTCAGTCTTTTCGAAAGCGACGACCACCTCGTTACTTCACCCCACCTTCCTCCTGGTAGCAATGAACTACTCCTCTCGCTCTTCGGGAGCTACCCGCTCTCAATCGCCTCAGGCTGATTCTCCCATATCTTGTTTTAACCATAGCATTGTTATCTAGGACCCCAGTGAAAATATATCACTGTAACCCACTTTTAGTTAAGTTTTAAGTTTTGTGTTTGTGTCCAAATGTTTCCCATCCTAGACACGAGTTGTTTGAAAGATGATTAGCCCAAATCAAGGCTTAATTACTAGGACAACTTATACACTCCATTTTTGGTTTACCCAGCAGGATAACTAACGGGCTTCGAGCCGTGACCCATTCTCATCCACACAGCCGTCGACGTGGCTTTTAAATTAAGCCGAGTGGCTCTGGGGACGAGAATGTGAACAACCGGACGCAAAACTTCGGTTTTCTATGTGCGCGCGCTTGTCTTAACGTCTGTTAATTGTGATTATGACGTCAATCTACCTGCTATAAACCGGAGAAGATGAACCTCTGGAGAACAGGAATTATCGTAGTTATCCTAATAGGTACTGTTTGCTCCTCGCATGTCGCATCATCTTCGGACTTAAGCCTCAAACAAAAAATACGATCGGTTGGTGCACAACTAAGGAATATTTTCTCATATAAGCCGTTCTTTTTTGTTTACCTGCGTAGATTTTTAACATATTGTTTTGTTAACAGCGTCGCATGATTTCTGAGGACATAAAAACCTGCAAACATTGGAATTATGAGACTACAGATGACCCACACTTTGCAGATGTTCACGTAAACCTGCATAATGCGGTGAGTATAAGATTCTTCTGGTGCAGAATTCGGTGATAAAGGAGCTTGAAAAATCCAGACTTGGGAGGTTTTATTAATATGAACTTCCAATTGCATATTTCCTGTGACGTTTCCTCGCTCAAATTTACTTTAACAAATCAGCATTTAAGCGACCGATTCTGTTTTAGAGTTTCGAATTGTTGTTGTTGTTGTCAGTGTTGTTAACAGTTAATCTCGTACCCAGATCTCCCACGGCCAAGGGAAAGAACATTTTGTATTGCTTATGCTCACCCCCTGATCACTCATCTGCCGGTTACCGAAAGGTAGACGTTTTTGTGTTGAAGTCACCATTGAGTACGGTGTTTTTCGTCCCTTTTCGGTGCTTTGGGGAGTATTTACAGTCCGAGACCGTTTCTTGACGTTTCCTTGTCTACTTGTTTTCAGTTTGCGTTCAAGTTTCTTCTGTGTACTCTGGCGAGTAGAGGCAAATATTTTTAAGTTCTTGTTTAGACTTAGAACTTTATCATGACAACTTCTGCAACAAAACTTGGAAGTTCGTCCCTCTCTGAGACTTCAACTTCACATAATCTAACAATAATCCTTTTTAACTGTAAGGCCTTTCCACTAACACTGAAAAAGTAATTTTTTCTCTTGGTGCTCTCCCCACAAAACCGGCATTGACTTTTTAAAATGTCGTCTGTCAACTTTTTATTTGGGATACTTCCATGTTTCACGGCGGCATGGCCCGAGCGGCCACCCAAAGAACCGCGAAAATTGGAACCGTTAAAAGAGCCAATCATAGCTTATGTTTTATCACGGCACGACTTTAAGCAGGAGCCAAAGAAAAATGGCCTTGTATCCACCTTTACCAGATCTCACTTTTCAGCGTAAGACTGAGTGAGATGTGGGTACGAGATTAGTTAACAGTATACTGAAACATTGGGAATTAGTTTTGTTCTGTGGACGAACCGTATAGAATCGCGGTTTCTCTGCGATAAAAGACTGATTTAGCTCCCCCGATCAAATGCTCTAATTTATTTTACCCCCGTTTATTAGAGATTCATATTATAAAAACCTTGTAATTTCCTTCTCTTTTCAAAATATGGCATTTCATTGCTTAAATTTTTTGAGTGGTTTGCCGCGCGCATGCCGCTTGCTGAGTGAGGCCGGCAATGTGTACTAACAAAATTGTCAAAAACGCTGATCTTTTTTCCACGCACACTTCAGGCAAGTACAACAAAGAAAATGTCGGTGGCTTTACAATGTACAACGATGAATAAAATACTCGAGCCGAAATCAGCTTTCAGCATTCCATCGGTAAGTAGAACTCGAATAAGAACTGTAATAAGCAAAAAAAAGAAACAAAACATTAGATTTGATTAGACCTTTGAGTACTGATTTGATACCGTCAAGTTATTTCATTTCATATCTGTTAATCAAAGAACACGAAGCCTGTGCCCTGGCATTATTCCTGCGCGCCCGATTGTCCCCTAAGATTGAGGAGCGCTATTAAGCCATATTTGGGACACTACTGCAGTAAAAAGCAACCACTACAGCGACGGCAAAAGGAACGTGAAAATGCAATGGCTCCTGAATATTAGCAAAAAAAAAAAAAACAATTCTGCACGTGCTTACCTTCTTATAATTACGGCCTCGTCACACATCACGGTGCGTAGGAGACTACTGGCTGCATTGAAGACATTACTTTTACGTCTCATAGTGAAGACCGGACCGCCATTTTACTTAGTCATCCGAACCAGCCGAAGGTCTAACCGTTTGCAGGGTATGCAATAAGACTACCTTCATTTTGAAGTTATTTTAAGCCCCTAAGTATTGGCCCGGCCCTTGGTATCGAACCCGCGACTTCGCGCTCAGCAGTCAAACGCCCTACAAACAGAGCTACTCATGCCGCGGTAAACGTGTAAGGATGAATTTTAACAAAGTGTGGGGCGCGTAGCCTGTTCTATGCGTTCTGCAGACATTGGAGGGTGGCGTGAATTTTGAGATCAGAGAAAAAAGTAGAACAAACGGAACAGGAAGAGAGGAGTGAAAGCTTTCCTTCGCCCTCTCTCTACCCCCACCCATTCGCTGTTTTCTTACTCACTTTTCCTTTGCACTGTACCCACTACCTAAAGGCCTGGAACACTATGAGATGCATTGAAAAAAGATCAAATTCTTGAAATGGTCAAACTAGCCCAACGTTTAATTTCTTTCTTAGGGCAAGAAACGTGACTTTGCATTCAGAATCGCCGTTGCATCAAAGTTCCACCACCGAGACTCTAGTGTGCGTCAACACAAATGTCAGTTGTCCACATGGAATGAAGATGAATTCAGCCTTGTAACCTGCAAGTTTAACATCAGCGTTTGGCCCAATGGCATGTTCTACTATAAGTGTTCTAAATGTACGTATATATCCCGACTTTTCTTTAAAGAGAACTGTGTGGCGAAATTTATCAAAATTCAAACAGTAGAATCTAACACCAAGTTAAATTGAGTGAAACATAAAAAATAACTGGGTGATTTCTCAAAACATTAAAAGAAGGTATAAATAAAAGCGAATACAAAAGAAGGTAGGAATGGATAAAGTTAAAAACCTGAAAAATGGTTCGCAATACTGGCTTCTTAGCCTAACAGCTTTTCAAAGTCCATTTAACTAATATAATAGTTGTTTGTCTAGAGGGCATATTTGTTAGACAAGAAGCTGTAAGCTGCTTTCGTTAAGTTCCATAGCGCAGAATTCAATTCAATTTTTATTCACACTTTTATAAAATATTTACATTATATAAAGTAAGGTAGGAATACACTAGTAAAGGAGAAGAAGAAGGAAGAAAGAAAATTAATGGCTTGGATAGAAGTGCACAGTGGTCAGAGGAGCTTAGCTTTCGAGCTAACCACCGCATAAGGACACGTACTGACAAAATGAACTAGACATACATGACACAGCCCCTCCAGCTTCTGACATATGTGCAATCGGACTAAAACCAGTTTTATGATTCTGTTTTTAGACTTTGTGGATTTTTCTTCTCGACATTAGTTTAAGAATGAACTCTCGCATATTTTATTTGTGTTTTAGATCAGAAAGATCAACTTTCAGTGTCACAGTCTATCACCACAAGTGCCAAGCAGATTAAGCTGTATAATAAGGAAGAAGTATATTACTCCTCCTTTTTAAATAGCATTAAAAGGCTTCAGCCCAACTCAGTACGAGAAAGTAGGCGGCATATTACAGAACTTTACAGGGCCGCCAAAATCTCGGCTTAGTTATATCCTTTGTAATTAACAGAGTAAATCGCAATAATTATTATTATTACCGAGGTAGTAGGCGGCATATATTTGAACTCTACAGGGCCCCCAAAACCTCGTGTCCCTCGATGTTATTTCTCACCCCTTTAATTCTATTGTAACTCCCGGGCCTGGGTCCTAGTGACCGCGTGCCACTACCCAGCCCCACCCTACCTTCGTATCCTCTTAATTTTTTGAACTACAACTTCTAGCGATCTGTAAATAAATTATTTAAGAAAAAAAAAAGTACGAGCATGGGTGTATAGATACATCAAACTCGTTCCCAGGCTACTTGTTATGTTATGTTCATTTGTTATTGGATCGTACAACAACTCCTTATGAGTTTCCGATAAAAATCAAATTTTGCTATACTTCTAAACATGTGTATGTTGGAAACGTCGTGGGAAAACAGCCTGGAGAGATTCTTGAAAAGTTCTCAAAATATTTATTGAAGTGTTGTTCTGTATACATCCACTGGAAATTTGCTTTAATCCGCGATACGGAAAAAGATGGCGCCACGCAAGGAACTCTGGGTAGGTCGACATGTCGGCCATGAAAAAATGTAAATAATAAAACAATTACCCTGATAGGTCTAACAGTCAATATTTATAATGGAAAATTATACATTGAGAAAATTTCCCTTGTTATGGGAGTCAAGTAAAAAGTCCAATGCCTCATTTGAGGGATATTTTCTAAAACTGCCCTTTGTGCTTATTTAATGGTCCATCACAAATTCTTGGATCTGCCCAATTCGTCTAATAACTTACTACTTTTGTCAGGCTGAGTTGGTTCGTAAATTTTTGGTACTTGATTGCCCAAATATCATCCTGATGTCTTAAATAAACCATCTATGATATCTATCATTTCTATCATCAGCGTTCCGTATTTCTCATAAACTCAACTTGTAAACCTGTCATACTGAGCCTCCAACTGGTTGATATGTACAAGAACCTAGAGAAGGGACAAGAATGGTCCCTGGAATTCCCGCTGTCCTGGTAAGTCAGAACACATGTACTTGATGTGAGAAAAGTGGGTTTAACTCTTGACTATCCAAGGTTATAAATATATATGGTTTTCCCGAGATTTAATTCTCTATTATGGAGTTTCCTTTCTATGAGGATTTAATTAATTTCTGCTTTTTTATAAATTGATTCATAACAGTTCTGGAGCTACAAGTCTCAATTACTATGGAAAATGCTCTGTCAAAATATATCACACGTGTCGCGAAGTCACAACTCATGTGAAAACCGTGATGTTCGAGTTTATGGACGGTAAGATGTTAAGCTCTTTTTACGAATTCGATACGAATAAATTGAGGTAAGGAGATTGTAATATGCTTGAGATATGCGAAATTGAAGAAATGAAAACAGATTCAGTTTTTTTTTTTATTTGATAGTTGATTGGACACTTTTAATCCTCATTTTGAATTGATGGATTGGGTAACAACCGGCCAGGTAGAGGCTAATAAACAGTATCGTAAATCATAAAAGGACATTAGGCTGCATTGTCTCTCTTCGCTGTGCATGGTCTCATGTGTTATCGATACAAAAGTAATTGATACTGCGGAGACTTTCTGGGAGGAGGGTGTGGCTGTACCCAGGCTGCGAAAACTGAGTTAATTCAGCCTCTGTTGCGTGGGTACCCTGTACTCACCATTTTTTTTAAACAAAGGAGCCCTGGTTTATTTGTTTCATAACCGTATTTTTTATTAGTGCAATGCTCCATACAAACGTCCCTTTTGTTTCTGTTGTAACTACTCCTGCATAACAGGCAAACAAAAGTAGCACCTTTCCTTTGATGAATGGACACATGATCCAATCCAAATTTACCCTTGTGACACCCTTTAGAAGAACAAGAAATGCTTCATTGGTAGAGACCTTACAGACAGTAGAGTGCGGGATATACTTTGCAGGAGAGAATAATTCTCTCTGGACTTTTGCCATTTATAGTAAGATAAATCACAGAAGAGAAAATGACCCTTCTTAGCGTGTATTATGTATTATATTATTTTTACAGGCGAAATTCCGGAATGTGAATATGTGAAGAGTCTTTTGGGCAAAATAGCCCGGAATAGTTTTGCCGCCTCTTTGGGAGTCAACGATGACTGGTCAGCAGCATTGTCCCTAGCTGCAATGGTAGAAGTACTTTTGATCATAGGGACGCTTTTTGTAAAGGTAGTCTCTAATTTCGAAAACGATTATTCCTATTATTCCTAAGATTTTCTTAATAATCGCACGGGACCAAACACAAATAAAATATTTTGACCAATCAGCAACGACCGTGACCGACCCGATACTAGAAGTGGATACTGGCTTACTACAAGATATATATTTATTTATTCATTCATTCGTTCATTTATTTTCTGACTTTCTTGACCGAGAGAAAGGCGCAAGAAGCCTTACTCAATACTTCGAGTACCTGAAGGCTAGATCAGGCAATCTCCAAACTCACTTTCCAGCTCACAAGTTTAGGATCTGGAAAATCAAATTCACTGAACACACCCTGTTTGCTTGTTTGTTGATAAAGTTGTTTGTTGCTGTTTTTTTATTGCGCATCTTGTACCTTACCGACCGCAACATTGGTTCACTATGCTTGAGTGTGTCAATCGCCATTTCTTACTTATAACATAAAACATAATTTTTTACACTTTTTTTCAGTTTGTTTACGTCGGGCTTACCAAAGGTTGGAATTCTTCCAAGAAAGAATTTAGTGATCGAGTGTTTAACGCCTTGAGTTTGAAACGTACCTCATCACAAGCCAAAGATAAATCAGAGAAAGATGTGACCGAAGCTAACGATGGCGCTTATCTGTTGGAAGAGAATCGTAATTAATGATAATTAGGGTCAGTGAAGATAATTTCACTTTGCGCTAATTTCCGAATAACCACTGCAGTCACTGTAGAATTAAACTCAAGAAAAAAGTGTACCCTTAATAGTACTTTTAGCAATTTACTTTCGTGCTAACTACATTTACACTCAAGTAAAGTGCTTTTTTCCGACGAACTTGGAAAGCCATTGATTTGATCCGGCGTTACGTTTATTGGTTGCACTTCTTTTCTGGAATTTTTTTGTTCACCCGTAAAGATAGAAGAAATGGGATGAAATGAAACAGAAGAAATGGAAGAAATGGGATGAAATGAAACAGGAGTTCAGTAATAAAAGCGTCCTTCCTTAAACCGTTACAGCGTTTTGTCGTAATGATTTCATAAAAAGATTTCATCACTACCCTTTTTTTTGTCTCATTCAGATTGATGAACATTTCCTCCTGTGTGAAGTACCATGGACATTGGTTTGGAATGGTAATCAAACAGTCTGTAAATTAACAATGGCAAATAAAGTCACTATGTTCAAAGTCTTTATTGAGGCCGTTTTTTTTAACTATGGGCTAAAGGCTTTTGCCATCAGAGTCGCGATCGCTGTGGATATCGCTGATAATAAAAAGAAACTGGAACCCATCAAATGATCTGCCTGTTCGCGGCCCTCGCGACACAGAGCACTTAACTTATCTTTACTAACATTTTCTGAATGATGGACGGTTAGCCTGCGCCACAGATAAACTACACTTCAGGGCCCAGTTTTTCCGAAAGGTGGATAACGCTATCCACTGGAAAAATCTCTATCCAGTGGATAGCGGACAAGTGGTTTCCCTAATACTTATCCGCTAGGTAGTGATTAAGCTGTTGGATAGCGCTATCCTACCGGGGACTGTCAAGTCCGTCTGCGAGCTAGCGCCGAAATCCTTGTTCTGGGTCCCCACCTGTGTACCAGGACGTGAGTACGTGCGATGATTGAGCTGTTAAAAGAGGCATTATTCATTTGCCAATCAGGTTAAAGGGAATTTCGACACGCACTACTGGTGGTCTCGGCGCTACTTGGAAGACCAGCTAGATAGATTACGTCTGCGGGGTAGCCGGGGCGGGGAGGGGGGGGAGGGGGGACTCGACCAATATTTGGGTAAAGTTGAGCCGCTGAGGGTTTGAAACCCCGACTCTGTTTAGGACAAAAAATTCCTAAAATACATACCCTGTTTAGGACAACTCGGAATAGACTCGCACAAATCATGCACACTGTTTAGGACAGACATGCGCGAAATGGTTTAGGACAGACTCGTGCGAAATTATATACCCTGTTTAGGACAGCAAAGACAAAAACCATACCCTGTCCAGCGGCACATCCCCGTATAGGCCATATAAGAGAGGACCCTCTCCCCCCCCCCCCCCCCCCCCCCCCGGGGGGGGGGGGGGCGTTGTAGTAGGCTACAACGTTGCGGCGAGACGTGGGAGGAACGAGTGAAGACAGGGAGCCGCGCAATATAATAACCCGTGTCGGGACGAATAAAACAAACCCCACGCCCGGCCCGGCGCGCACCCCCGTTGAAGCCAGAGTAAGGGGGGCCCCCCCCCCCCCCCCCCCCCCCCGCGCGGGGCGGGGTAGGCTATGTACGGCAGCATTGTTCACGTAATCCACAAAAGATATACCACACCCAAACAATGCCCCCTTTTAAGTAGTGTAAGACGAACACTGACTCTGAGTTACAAAGTGACGCGATCATTTGAGGCAAGACAATGGAGTTCAGCTTTAACTTCGTAACCTGAGATATTCAAGCCGGCTGCCATTATCAGGTCGATTCCACAAGTTCTTCATCATCTCCAATACATCTCTCACTTTTCCTTTACTGCAGTCGTTCACGTAATCAATTGATTCAATGCTAGAAGCCTGTGGCGTGTTCACTCTAACATAATATATAAACGTCTGCAATGACCAATCAGGATTCACGTCAATCACTTGAGCCTTAGTTACTGCGCCAGAATACATGACCGGAATACTCGGTCCTGTGATTTCGAAAACTTCGACGAGGGTTCCCGGGTAAAAGCCTAAACAACGAAGAGATTTCTTGAAAACAGAACACTCTTTGTACATCCCATTTATTGACAAAGTTTCAATGCCTTTGTCTGGTTTGGGAAAATTCCTCTTCCCGTTTGATATGAGAAATTTGGCATATTCTTCCTCAAATGAAGTGTGAATTACTCTCCCAGCATAAAATATCCTCTGGTTGTCGCGTGGAAGGAACATCACCAAAAAGCTCCACGGTTTAAGTCGAAATGTTTGGCGAAGCTGTTTGTCCAAGAATTTGAGGGGAAGAGACAAGTTAATGCAGACTTCCTTAATTTGATTTCCAACTAATGATGCAACGATAATCTGGAAAAAGAAATCGTGTGAAATTTTCATTAACCCTATTCAGACTGGGGGAGGCTTTTCGAGCCCCCCCTCCGGCAAAATCGTGATAACTCCTACACCGAAAGAACTATGACGTTCAAATTTTCTGACTTTTCCTAAAATTTATCTAGGAATATTTTAGTATAATTACCATGTCCATGTGATTAATCATGTTGCCATGGCAACCAGTTTCTGACACATAGGTTTCGTAAAATTTAAAAAATGGTGATTTTTTTTGTTTTAAGATCGCGTTTTTACTCTTATAGTGCTTTTTGTTGTTAAAATGGTCTTTGCTTGGGACTAGTTTTTGAATTACATCAAAATGTTTCAACATCGAATATTTGGGGGGGGAGGGGTGGGGTAAAATTTGTCACTTTTTTGCTTTGACAAATATGCTGCTCTATTTTCCAAATAACACTTCCAAAGTCATTTGTTTGGGTAATAAACATTAGTTTGATACTTCTTTTATACATTCTGAGCTTTTTCCCCTTTGAAAGTTGCTTTAAATTATAGTTTTAACAAAAAAACTGAAATCCAAGATGGCGGACAACCATTTCAAATTTTAAATTTTATTGCTTCCTATTGCTTTTTCTCGCTGTACAAGTGTTTCCTTGTTACTAGTTCATAAGAAAGGATAACAAAGAGATGACTTTACCAATATTACTGATAGTTTACGTATCTAAGTGGAAAAATAATAAGAAACATTGAAAAATCGGAATATGACGTCACTGCGACGTCATCATTGGGCGTGGCAAGTCAAAAGTGGGTGTGGGGCTTCTTTGTACGGAGATGATCATTGTGTGTAAATTTCATGACCCTAGCATTATTGGTTCCAGAGATACAGAGGGGGGTCCGAGGAGCCCCCCCCAGTCACAGATTGACCAAAAAAGCCCAGTCTGAATAGGGTTAATGAAAGACATGAAAAGGAAAATCTCTCAGCCCTGCGTCGTAGATTTTTAACAAAGCCCACCTTTCGTCCTTTCTCTTGGTCTTGTATTTGATTTCATTCCATTTAATTTCACCGTATTTTACTTACTTTATGATCATTATTATTTTTTGCCTGAGGAAGTAACCCTGCCCGGGCGCAAGTCACCGGTCAGTCAGGGCCTCTAAAGAAATCTAATCAAAAAACCCAAGATACTTACATCTTTATGGGACGCCGTAGGGAAGACTTGCTTAGACTCTACTGTTTCACTGGTTGGCACCCGGCGCCATGTACTGAATACACAATCATAGACAATGTCTTTGGTTTCAAGAATGTCATCATCTTCCGCTGGGAGACAGTTTCTAAACAAGCAAACTCTTAGATGACTTGCAAGCTTCAGTTTCTGTCTCAGCAGCAGTAAGACCTCGCTGATTACCATGTCGCTTTTCACAGCAAGAATGATGCGTTCCCCTCGTACGTATCTTGGCCACAGGTTGAATGTCACTTCAATGAACGATGCTGGCGCCAATTGTTCCTGAAACTGTATTGGTAGAGACTGGATTTGATTCCCAGGAATGCTTGCTATGTTGAGAACCGCTGATCTTAGGCACTGCACGACCAAGGAGGCAGGGGTATCGTGAGTGGTTTCCTCAATTGTCTTAACCTGAACCTCATCGCTGTTTATTTGATGCTCACTGCTCAAAAAGAAAAAAAAACACTTGCAATGATGAGGCTTTTTAGAACACCAACATGTAAAACATATTGAGATTTGAAAAATGTCAAGAAGTTGGATACATGCATGCGAGACAGAAATCACTCTATGGCCCATATAAGTCTGTTACAAACAGTAATCTTTTGTGATTTTTTTTGCAGATCACGGGTTGAGTGTTGCTACAGTCAGCAAGGTGGTAAAGATCTTAATCTTAAAATTGCAATTTTCCCACGAAATATATTTATATCCATTATCTATTTACGCGCGGGAAATAATTGGTGACAATGCGTAAAACCATTATAAAGTATACTAAATACAGTCGAATCTCCACGAACGGCCACCTCGATCTCCACAACGGCCATTTTTTTTGACGGACAGTCCGTTTCATTCTTTCTTGTTTCAACCTCTCTACAATGGCCACTTACTTCTGTCCCCAAGATGGCCGTTGTAGAGAGGTTCAACTGTAAATATCAACTACAAAAATCAAACTGTGCGGGGACCTGAAAGAAAAAAGAGGGGCGGGGTAGGAAGGAAATACCCTTCAGAGGCTATTGACTACAGATAGCTAATCATGACCAGCCAAATATATTGTCTGAATGAAGCAGATATAATTTAAACAATGATTAATTATATGACAAGCCAAAAAAAAGACGTTTACGTTTTAAAAAACGTTTAATTCCGGGGACCATATTGACCAAATTGGCTGATTATCGTTAACAATGTTGCGGGTACCCGATGATCTATTTAACAGGCGTGACTATATACACTCCCAGTTGGCAACGCGCGACGCGTGACACTTGAAATACTGTGGCCGGGCGAGAACGATCATCGAATCGAGATCTAGGTGTCTCCTCTTTTTATTTTTACTGCACAATATTCTTCCTCTCTTTAACCTCTTGGCTACGGATCTGGTCATTATATATATGGAACGATGCAGATTATGAGTGATTAAGTGATTAAGTTTTCAGGTAATGAATTCAGGAAGGATAAATATTTGCAAACTGATACCACATTTTGGAAATTCTGACCAATCCTCATAGTTACACACAAAGAACCTGCTAACATTTTCGAGAAAAATCCACTTCGTTTTCACTACTTTTCACGTACTTTTCTTTTCTCATAAAAATTCCTTCTTTCCTATCCCCAGTTGATGAAAACATGGATAACACTTTCCATCGGATAAATCACTATCCAGTAGATAAGTATCAGGGAAACCAATTGTATTATTCATAGCCTGCGTAGCATGGCGGTTTTGGTTGGGCGCGCTAAGTAATAAATGGATAGAGATTTATCCAGTGTATAGCATGGGGCCTGGAGAGTAAGCCAGCCAAAATTCCATGAGTAAGAAAAACGATAAAGTGGGAAAAATACTAGATGTAGAAAAAAGGAAAAGGATGGAAAAGATTCACCAAAAATAGACGTCCAATTTTTGATTATGCGCACGCGCAAAAACAAAAATGAAGTTCAATTACAGTGTACATCCAATTAACAGGGAAATTCGCAAAAATATTTAAAGCATCTGTTTTCCCCGTTTCTAAGCTAATTGGTGCAAAATAGGTGCAAAAAGGAAAACTCGGTTAAAAAATGCGGTTTTTTCTCTCTAAAAATTTTGTATTCCAGGGGTTAAGACCAACAAAACAGGATATACGTCAGTCTGTCTGTCTCATCAGCACGTGTATACTGACCTTTAGGAAGACATTCTCTCTTGCATTTAGTAAAATCCAAGTAGTGGAAAATTATCAATGTTGCGTTCTGAATGGTTGAGCTAGGCTATATTTTATATGTTATAGCCCACTAGTAGCGAAAAGTTCCGGCTTTTTGGCGGCAAAAAAAGGATTGAAGTCGAGCTTTAACCGTCTAAAGTTGTTTAGTCTCCGTATTTTTGACCAACTAGTTGGATTTTACTATAAAAACAGTTATTCCTTTCTCTCTCATGGCCCCTGAATCAATAGCCCATTCGGCCCATTCGGGCTCGAGGAATAATTGTTAAATGTTTAACCTATATTGTAAAAAAAATATCTCACCATTTTAATTTCTTTAAAGAGGAAAATATTGTTACAGTTATAACATAAATATCGACATATCATGTTCGCTGAAACGATATGATATTTGCTTTAGAAATGAACTTCGAACCCTCAAAATTAAAAACAGTCTGATATTTTGATTTTAGACGGGTGCTAAGTCGAAACGCTGTTACCGATAAATGTGGATAGCATTTCCTTAAAATCTGTCCGGCCTCAACATTAAACTAAACCGCTACTCAAACGTAAATATTGCATTTTAATAATCACCAAAGAAGAGTGTCGGACAAAAATTATGCAAAGAGCACGAGCCAAAAGCATTAATTATCACCTTACCTCAAAATATTCTCCGCATCGCTTGAATAGAGAAAATTAAGGCAAAATCTGATGAATTTTTCCGGGGAAGTCCCTATACGCAAAACCATGACGTAAGCCAAGTTATTATCGACGGTAACTTTCAGTGTGTCCCAGTCGAAATGGAAAGACACTCTTTGATCTCTGAAACAACCGAAGATCGGCGAAACCGTGAGATTATATTCATGATATTTCATGTTGTATTGACTAAATTGATTCCTGTACGTCAAAGAAACAACTTCTGCAGGATCTTCAATGTACTTGAATTTAGGTTCGGGGTTTCTTGACAGAAATCCTCTCGCTGTAGTTCTTGTTAATCTACTTATTTCGCTCACAGGCATTATGTGGACTGATTTCTCGTCGCCGCCACGAGACAGATGTTAAGTTGCCGGTCGCTCTGATCTGATCGCTCGGACCTCGTTCTATTAATTATTCATTTCTCCATGGAAATCAAAATGTCTCCTAATAATTTGCCCTCTTTTAAAGGTAGTAGTACTATCAGTACTATGTTTCCTAGAAAACCTTCTTCAGCTATTGTACTTCAAATACATACCTAATTTTAAAAGCCATATCGAACAGATCTATTCCCGTGTCCTGATTGGTTCTTTGTCTTTAATAAAGACTTTTTATCAATTGAAGAACAAACCCCCTCGATGAACCTGCCAGGGCAGCGTTTCATAGATCGGGTCACCCCTCGGGAAAGGTACTTGGAAGAGGCTTTTTAAGGCTACCTTAGGTAGGATGCTGCTGTAGAGGCCCTTCATATGCTGACCCTATTTAAGACAAAATCTGTTCGTTTTACTTTCCTGTTTAACATTAGACAAGAAACTTTGTGGTATGACATTCTATCTTAATAAATAGCATCTTGGGAAAAGAAATAACACGACACTAATTCGTTAACAAACCCAAGGCAGACCGGTTGAAGTGCGCGAATAACTGACATAACAAAACAGAATATTCATACTAATTAAGTGAATAAGTCATTTCACAAAGGATCTACATCGAGATTTGTCAATCAAAAAAAGGGACAGTAAACGGTAATCTCGGCAAACAACAGTACTTGGCACATCCTCGGAGACCCAGGGGCAGTCAGTCGGCGAGTCGGGAGAAAGGCGCGAAGAAAGTTTTCAAGAATGCCCTGCTTAAAAAAACGCAAGACACAATCTCTAGAAAGATTTTATAGACTTCTTGGTAAGTCTATAAATTTCTCAGTCTTCAATTCCGCAGGTAAAATTTACAGACTTTTCATAACCATTCTCGGTATAAGTTTAAAAAAAAAAAAACTCCATGAACTGTCTGCAAAACTGAATGATTTTACAGACATGTGTTTTCCCTGTAAGAAGTAGAGAAAGATTTGGACCTTTATAAAAAGTCCATAAAATTACGAATTATAGACATTTTATTATCTCTGTAAAGGTCCAGTTTCCATTGACAGGCGGAAGAGCTGAAAATGCTTAAATCGCGAATTTAAAGCCTTTTTTTCATATTGGCCTGTTGAAATCGCAAAAATAAAACCCCACGAAATAAAGTACCAATAGCAGAACAAAGCAGCACAAAGCGGCACTGCACTGACAGGGGCGTTCCTATGCATTTCTTGTTTGTAAGTCTTGGCGGAGCATATTGAGGGGGGGTGGAGGGGTTACAATATGGGCGCGTTAGCGCGCATATTAAAGGACAGCCCAAGGCGCGACATGCTAGGGGGCGGGGGGAGCAGGGGACATGCCATACTCGAAAATTCCGAAAATTCAAGTACTCTGAAATGTAATCTGGTGCAATCTTGGCGCTTAAATTAGTTGGCAAATGCCAGGATTTCACACTAAATAAGAAATAATGAAATATTTAACAAAATGCAGCCACACAGTAATTTTCAAGGAGTTATATAACTCCTCTAGTGGGGCTAATTTAACTCCTTACAGTGGAGTTATTTTTTGGGGACTTATTTAAATCCAAAAAGGAGTTTAAAAAACTCTTTTTCAGGAGTAAAAGTGACCCCAGATATTGAGAAGTTAAAATAACCCCCCAAAAGGAGTTATCCTGTATCTAAAATTTTTACTCCACTTTCAGAGCTAAATTAACTCCAAAAAGAGTAAAAACAACCCATGTAAGGAGTAAAAGTCATCATCATCATCAATCTTTATTTATACACGAAATCGTATCATTTTACATGGTCTTCCTAGGAATCGTGTTAAAAACTAGACTAAAAGACTAAGACTAAAAGACTAAGGAACTATTGACTATAATGTTAAAAATACAAAAACTTACATTATGAATAATAAGAGTTACAATGGGTCATGGTGTATTAGAAAAATCTTTCCCATGAATTGAAGTTTTAAAAACATTTAAACTAGGCAGTTTTCTAATCTCTGAGGGAATCTTGTTCCACAGAACAGATCCTCTGTAGTGTAGGCTCCTTTTTGCAGACTCAGTTTTGGGTCTGGGGACATAATAATTTAACTCAGAATTTCTAAGATTGTGTGAATGTACATTTGAGGTGTTGGTAAAGATCCGCCTCAGATACGATGGGGAAAGATTATTATGGATTTTATACATTGTCACAGCCAACTGTTTAAGTCTTGCATATTCTAGCCTTTCCCAGCCAAGCTCATCCAACAAAACACTTGAGCGAACGTCATAGTTAGAAAAGGTGAGAATTCTAGCAGCCCTATTCTGCAGCTTTTGAAGTTTGTCTGCTAGTCCCTTATTGATATTACCCCAGACGGCACCACAGTAATTAAAATATGGCATTACCAGTGCATTGTACATGTTCACTCTAGTATCAAATGGTATAAAATGACTTACACGCCTTAACATAGCAATACCAGCGGATATTTTCTTTGAAATGGTATGAATGTGTGGGCGCCAGTTCAAAGATTCATCAATTTGAACTCCAAGGGATTTATGTTTAATTACTTTTTCTAAGGGTGTATTATTGACTTTATGACCTCATTTCGGAGTTATTCTAACTCCAGACTGGGAATAAAAAGATTTCTTTTTCGGGAGTAAAAATGACCCCAAATTCGGAGTTAAATTAGGAGTTAAAATAACCCCAAAAAAAGGGGTTATCCTGTACCTAAAATTTTTACTCCATTTTTGGAGTTAGAATAACTCCCTAAAAATTACGGTGCAGTTGTGGTTGTGGTCAACAACAGCAACAACGTAATGACCTGACTAGCGACACATTAGTTGCAAACATATCCCAAATCTTGGTGGACGTCAAAGAAATTCGAAAGCTAGACGTCTGTTCTTTTTGGCGCAAAATTCGCGAATCACGGCTTCTAAATCAATGGGTATGTCTGTAAGCATGCATCAGGGCAAGTGATGCGATTCGCTCTGTTTTCATCGTGGAAGACCGTGGAACGTAAGTACGTCTTCACTCTGCACATCGTGCTGAAAGATCGTTCGGGGGTAGCAGTTTACACTGGCATTGTCAGGAGAATGGTAATAATTGTGTCCACGTCGGGATAAAGGTCCGGATTAGCGTGCTAGAGTGTCTCTGTGGGCGTCATTTGTTTTTCATCAGTTGAATGAGACCACTTTGTTTGCCGCCTTAAAATTTCATTGTCAAAGTCTCTCTTCTTTGAAAGATCGGTTTTGTAGGTTTCATAAAGCTTATCTTGTACTCCCTGTTGGAAGCATTCGGCTTTGCTGGAACAAGATACTGTCCTAAGAAACGATTCCCTTGTGACAGAAACCTGTCATTTAGTTCCTGTACGAGGTGATCGACCAAAGGAAAATACACGGTTCTTTGCCAGTACATCTCTTTTTAAAAATATATATCATAACGTCCGAATCACTTGTAAGCGTGTGCTTATTTGCTTACAGGCAGGTACGCCCTTGACTGAGGGTGGTAAAGGGTATTTTTGTTTTGAACAGTGAATTGCTTGCTTTATTCCCCGTGAATTGTAAAATCCTGCATTTTACTACAAGCGTAGGCTATTCGCGCTATTCAAGTGCGGAAAATCACGACATCGGTTTGCCGGTTTGATATGGTTAGTGCTGTTAGCCGTAAATAAATTACATTATAGGATGGGTCCTAACTTTTGAATTTGTGCAGGTCGTGAAATATTACAATGTGACCATAATGAAGGTTTCTTCCATGTGGCACTGTTTTTCATGTCGTCAGGGGCACCCAAAGACGGTTTCCCCCTAAATACATTGAAAACACTTTTCAGGCTATCCAGAGCACTTTTAGATCTCTAGAAATCCATTCTAAGTGAGCGGCGCCATAGAATTTGCATCTTTTCGGTCATCCTTGGGGAATTTGAGTCTTTTCGAAATTACGAGAAGGACTTCAGTACTATTTTGCCAAAAATTTTATATGCAATTTAACATATTACGAAAGTTAGAATTATTCCTCTCTCTATTACATTTTTGAGTCCGAAAATTTGGGGTTTCCTTTTTTTCTTCGAAGAATTGCCTAAATCTGGGTAGTGAAATTGTGAAAAATTAAACTCCAGAAAATCGTTGGGAATTTGTTTGACATTAAAGGTTCGAAAATTGTACATGAACGGAACGGTCATCTAGAAATTTTTAGCCGTCCTCAAGTAACAGAAAATTCTAGGCAATACCTGCTTCTCCGGACAGATATTTTACAGAAAACAATCGTTGGGTACCCCTGTGTCGTAGAAGGTGATTCTAACTTTTGAATCTGTGACCACTGAAAATGAACTTTTTCATTGTGGCAGTACTTTCTTATGGTGCTGTCTGTTGTTTCAATATCTTTATTTGAAATTTGGATCTTTTTACACGGTGGGCACTATGTGAAGTTAATTGCGGGTTATGGTTAAGGTTAAGGGTCGTTGTGTTCTATGCACCAGTAGGCTGTCAAGCACACTGGTGTTACATTATTTTCTTATGAGACAATTTGGTCTGCCAACTTGGCAAAATTGTTCCCTTGTTGTCAATCACTTAATGTAGCATTTAACTCAAAGCTAGGGCAAAGAGGCCTTTCAGCTTTCATCACATCGTGCTGCAGACGAGGTAAGATTGTTTCACTCACACATTCAATGAATTTGTTAGCTTTAAACCAGATATTGTTCTTTGGGTGCTTCGTTTTCGAGATTTAGGGGTCTTCGTTTTCCAGTTTTGGGTGCTTCGTTTTCGAGTTTTGGGTGCTTCGTTTTCGATCTAGGGTGCTTCGTTTTCGAGATTTGCGTGCTTCGTGCTTCGGTCTTCGTTTTCGAGTGCTTCGTTTTCGAAACTACCATTGTTCTTTCGTGCAAACACATTTTATAATCACCTGCCATGCATTTACAGACGAAACATCAGATCTACTTGGACTCTGCGACATGTATTAGGTATTCTACAGACTACTATCAACGACTCACTTTAGAAAGCTGGTTTACTAACTTAGAATAACCGCCACTGAATCGTAGTCAACAGTTACCGTAGCCTGCGAACGGCAGACGTTTCTCCTCGCTCATCGCCGCTGAAGTACCCTGAAGGACGTTTCGCAGGAGGAACGTCTGCGATTCAGCGACAGAAATTCCATACTGATGACGCAAAATCTGTCCGGAATCCGATCAGAAGCGCCAATTGGTCGACAGAGTAGTTTCATTGTTTTAGCTATTGTTCATTAATGACAGACAAAAGACAAAAGGCCGCAAAGGTCAAATGTAAACGCGATGAATCTCTAACAAAACAATCAATATTTGTGGAATATAGTCTCCTCTAAAAGAAGCATTTGAGTTTTGCTGGAGCTCGGTCGCAGATCAGCACAGCACTTTACCAAAATCGACCAGGAGAAACGTTAAATTGAACAAATTTGCATTTGGAACCCCATGACTACCGGATTTATTATGTAAACATTGATTAACGTCCGTCATCAGTATGGAATTTCTGTCGTTGAGTCGCAGACGTTCCTCCTCGTGAAACGTCCCTCAGCGGCGATGAGCGAGGAGAAACGTCTGCCGTTCGCAGGCTACAGTTGCCGGCACCGTACAAACGACTTAATGACGAAATCAAGCAAAACTAACTACGCCGAGAGAACGACTGGACAACTGACAATTTGACTAACAACAGACTGATCAAAACGCACCAATTACATTACGAGTCTTCATAGCCAATAACATCACGGCTTAACTGACAGACGACAATTAACATCGCGACGTAATCAGGGAAACAATAATCAGAGTATAATACCATCAACTGACGTGATGCAACTCACTTTGACTCTGAAGATAACTTGTACCGCACAGGTTGTCGAAACGTTAGTCACTGCCAACAATAATAGTCCTATTCAGGACTACGTTCACCCGGACGATCAAACTCAACCTACTTTTGTAATTTTGTCATATTAAAACCATTTTTCTTTGCCATAGAAGCTATTTAAAGCTGGTGGAGTTGTATTTATCATGAATTTAAATATACATTTTACGGAAAATTAGCTTAAGCGCGTATCTAAGAGCTATTTTGCATTTCTTCGGGTTGAACTGGCCGATCGATATAGATAATCGATGAAACTAGCTTTACTGAATTTGGTGGAGAATTAGGAAATAAACAGAGGCCCTCAATCGAAGGGTATGATATGAGCTACGGCCGATTTAATCAGCGAAAGACTATATGGAATTAAACGTCTGTGATTCCTGAATCGAACCTCCTGTTCTAGAGACTAAACGTTGCCTATTCTAGAGAAAAAAAAGGGAACAAATTTTTTATGACCTTGCTGGTTCCGTAACGAAAATGGCGATCCCGCAACAGGGCCCACGACACAAATGATCAAATTACACAATTATTAACACAAAAGACGGTTTAAACAAGCAGACCGCAACAACAAAGGCTCTAATATCCCAGCGCGCGTCCCAAGAGACCACGCCCACAATTTTTGGACCCGGAAAAATTGTGTTTAATATCAACATTTTGCAAAATAATTATCGGGTGCTTACATGCTCGCCGCTCCCAAAAAGCAGTTAAATAGTTTTAGACCGATTACCGATCAATTAGAACAGCGATTTTAAACTACAGAAAAGTTGCAGAACTTTAGCGGACATTTACCGCAGGAAATTTTATATTTGACCACCCAACAAAAATTTAAGCAAAAGATGAAACGCATTTTTATCTTCGAGTCGAAATGACATGGCGTTCCCGAAAATGGCAATTCAAGGGGGCTGAAATCATAATGCTTTAAGACTAGGGTAAGTTAAATTGTACTTAATAGCTATACGAGATGGCAGTTTAAATTTGTTATAATCCGTGAATTTCATTTGCCATATAGTGACTTTTTTTAATGTTCCTCGCGCAGAACAAGGCGATTTCAAGCTCGTGCCGGTGCCAAGTTTTTTAAATTCAAGGAAGTTTTTCAGCAAAGTGAGTAAAAGCATAAACTTGAATGCTTGAAGTATGGTTAAGATTCAGTGATGTTTACATTGCGTTTGTAGTTAACTTTTAGGCGACCACGATACTGTTATGTTGAAGTTCTCTGTCCTCTTGAGACTTCTTGAGAAAGCCTAGCTGTCAAAATTGCAAGAAGGGTGTTTTGACCTTTTCTGATTATTAACTTGTTCTTAGCTGGACTCTTGCTGCTAATTTTTGTACGCCGGCTCACTGAGGGCTTTAGCTTTTTCATTCTTATGGCTTTTGCTCTTACATAGGGCCAGAACGTGGGCTAGCTATTCTATAATTTGTCTTCAGCCCTTGATGAAAATAGCAACTGAATACCAGTGTGTGTTCTTTATAACTCTAGACAAATTGATATCTCTGATCATCTTCTTAATTGTGTTTCTTAATAGTAGTTAATGACAATTGTGTGACCCTTTCCTCTTGCAGGTTATTTTAGAAGAGCAAAAAGAAGAGGTTGAAGCAAAGAATGCTTTTTGTTTTTTTTCTGCTTTTTCTGATGCTTACCAAAGCAGCAGGTGCATCTTCCTCAACATCTTCCGCTTACTGTATATATTTCTTTATAACAACCTTCACGTCCCTTCGTTATTCTCCTTTTTTGTGCTCTGATTTTTCGCTTTTTTTTTTTTTTTTTTACTAAATTACTTGGCAAAATCACGACTTCTGGATTAACAGGTACTTTCTTTTTTATCCAAAATCAATTATAGGTCACGATCCCTGCTACGACTCCTTTATCCCAATCGACGTATGCCTTTTCAACAGCTGGAGAGCAGTTGGTGTTCTGAGTGCAGACCCGATAGCATGTAATGGTAACAATGATGTCCAACTTTGTTATGGTGACAAAGTCACGGGAACTAATAATGTTCTGTTCGCTGTGTGCTACAATAAAGAGACGCGTATTCCAAAATTTACGGGGCACGTTTTACGTGGAGAAGGTACTGTGGGTGTTCCAAATATGGTTCCATACGGAAGGGAAGACAATAACTGGAGAACAGATGACAGTGGATTATTAGGTAATTACCACACTATTAATATGACATATATTTTCAGGGGCACTTTGTAATACCTGTCGCGCTTTGTATTAAAACTAGTCGCACCATCGCACTTTGCAATAAAATAAGCTGTCGCACTAAACTTGAAATGGATGGTCGGAGGATGAGTAAACCCAATAATAAGTATCATTATCAACAACAACAACAACAATAATAATCATGATAATAACTGAATAATGATAATAACATTCCAGTGAACCGTTTTCAGGCCCAATTTCTGAAGATCTAATCAGCTAAAATGTAAAGAACAAAAACGAGAAGTCTAAGGGCCTGTTTACACGGAGGTGAGGGACCTAAGGTAGGTGAGGTAACCTGCTTAGGTGTGGTAACCCGCCTGTCCACAGTAATCTCTCATTTTGATTTGATCACGTTTGCATGACAGGTGGGGTGACCCGCCGCACGTTACCTCACCTATCTGGGGTCCCCACCTCCATTCAAACAGGCCCTAAAGACTACTGCACAGCTGATAACAACGTTTATAAATAACTAAGATAGTACGCGCGCTCTGATTGGTCAAGAGATGTGTTTGCATGAGAGTATGTAAACATGTGTGAAGTCGAGATGTTTTGCTCTTCGCGCGCTAATCACACGAATCAGTTAAAATGTTTTTGAGTTGAAAACTCGACAAATTTACTTTATTTACCCATTCCCTCGTCGGAGGAAACTCGGAAAATCTTTACAAACATGCTGTGCAAATTTTTTTCGCTTAAGCTGACATTTTAAGCGAGAAAAACCCTTTTTTGGAAAGCTTCTTTATTGCAAAACAAGAACTGATTACGTGTACATTTAGCTTCGTGTACAAGACTTCGCGACTGGTTAAAATTTCTCTTTTAATCAGTAACCTAAACAAAGAGTTTTTCTTTTTTCTCGGGAAAGTTATTTTATAAAAGCAATAGAAAACTTTTTTGCTGTGTTTCCATAGCCTGATATAAAACACTCGAGGGGTTGGGAGAATTCTTGACAGTTATGCAAACCCGAGACGAAGTCGAGAGTTTGTATAACTGTTCCGAATTCTCCCAACCCCTCGAGTGTTTATATCAGGCTATGCAAACACAGGAAATAAAGTTTTCCAGTTGCTTAAATTTTGCTTTTTTAGAAAAATACTGTTACTTTGTCGTTTACAAGCAATTTATTTGTCGTTAAGTTTCACAGTGCATAAGGAAATGTACTTGATTTACGCGAATTAGCTACGCGGCAAGGTACTTAATACCATAGTAATACCGCTTAGTACCGTATTTACACCAATAAGCGCCGCGGCGCTAATTAACTCCCACCCCCAAATGCGGCGCTTATTTGAGGGCGGCACTTATTCGAGTAATTACTGTAATTGGCAACTTAAGAGTCTATTACATTTAGGGCAAATTGTTATTACTTCAGTACATTTAGGGTCGTTTATTACATTTAGGCCTTCTACATCTGTAGACGTCCGTTCAACGGTCAGCTGCAAGGAAAAAGTGGTCTCTTCAATTTTTCAGACTAGTTTGTAATATTTATCTGTTAGCTAAGACTTTGCACGAAAATAGAACTTGGTATTCCTAACAATTGCATGTTTTTGGATTTACGATTTTAAGGATTTTTGGCACAAAAATGACGTCATAAGATTGACCGCAAAAACTTATTTTTGACTGTTGACATAGCGAGTCAGACATTTTGAAAAAGTACTCAGAGGTGAACTGAAAAATGAAATTCTTAGGGGGGAAAACCTAATTTGGTTGCAAACAAATAACATTCTAAACGCTAAAGATCACTAATGTTTCTGAAAAATGGCAACAAAATGGCAGGAAATTTGAAATTCATAGCTCAATAACTTCTCAACCAATTGAGCTTTTGTAAATGATTTTTTCACCTTTGAGCTCATCTCTGCGTGCTTTTTGAAAGTTGCTTATACTTGTTATGTCAAAAGTCAAAAGTTAAATTTTGCTGTCAATCTTATGACGTCATTTTCCCGCCAAAAAACGTTACAGTCGAAAATCCAAAAACATGCGATTGTTGGGAATACCGAGTTCTGTCACCTTGCAAAGTTTTAACTCAAACAAATAAAAATTGCAAAACTAGTTTGGAAGAGACTACTTTTTGTTTGCAGCTGAGCCGTCGTGGTTGCAGAGGGTCTGTATAATACCCACCACTATTCCAAGTCGTAAGAGTGAGGTTTTAAGTGGTGCAGCTTAAACGAGTAGTACGAGTTGTGAGACACAGTTTATCACCTAATTCGATTCGATTGGTTCAAGTGGTGAAAGTAATACGTTTAAGTGAGCTAAAATTAAGTACTTCCTATCAAACCCGCATCTTATAGGCCATTTTCGTTATTTCCGAGTAATTTTTGAGTTTCGCTTTGTGAAAATGAGTTTTATCTACATGAGAATAGAAAATCATTTTCATTACACAGCTTTGCACTTAGACTCACTTCAAAAAAGTGGCTTCGGCAACTCGAAAATGGCCTATTAAGGACACTTAGAATTGGAGCAGGGCCGTGATGATGGGACCTATTCAACTGGTACGACTATGGTTCAAGTATTAATTCCCAGTGAGAAAAAAACACGACTGGATCAATCCGAAAACACAGTTTCACGTAAACTACGCTAAAATCAAGAAGGTACATTCACGGACTCATAAAATGAATTTTTAAAATTTTTTTATAGTAATAGCTGATCAAGCAACTAATGCAGATTACGCAACCGCACCCCCGAACCTTAATTTGGCGAAAGGTCATCTCACTCCTGCAGCGGATTTCAGGAATAACAATAAGGAGAGAAGTTTTACCTTAGTGTTGACCAACAGTGCACCGCAGTGGCAACCGTTTAATGAGGGTAACTGGGCTGCAGTTGAACAGGCCATAAGAAGCTATGCTAAAAGTACACCTGGAGGAAAAACTTTGTACATCGTCACTGGAACAGGTACGTTTATATTTTTTTCCCTATTTTGTCTTTAAAAATATTGACAGTAGTGCAACATAGATTGAGTAAGATGGTCCGGGTGAACGTAGTCCTGAATAGGACTGTTGTTAACTGTGACTTAGTCTGACGTTTCGACAACCTGTGCGGTAGTCGTCTTCATAGTCAAAGTGAGTTGTATCGAGTCATTTGATGGTATTAGACCCTGGGTATTGACCTGATTGGTCAATTAGGTTGTGATGTTATCGGTCGTTTATCTGTTAAGCCGTGATGTCATTGGCCATAAAGACTCTAAATGTCATCGGTGCGTTTCGATCCGTCTTTTCGATCCGTCGTTTTATATTCATTGCTTTAGTCAATTGTCGGCTGTCCATTCATATAATGTCGTCGTCAGTTTTGCTTGAGTCCATCAGTATGTCGTTTGTGCGGTGCCGGTAACTGTTGACTACAATTCAGCGGCTTTTGTTATAAATTGGTAAACCACCTTCTAAGGTGAATCGTTGATAGGAGTCAACGCCCTAGCTCTGTTTACTTCTTTTACAACTTAGGGCACTCGCATAAAACAGGTGACTCACTTTCTCATAGTTTCTGACGGCAGATACGGCACAGAGAGTCATTCTGTGACGTATCTATCTTTATTTTTACTATTTTCAGTATTATTATTATTATTATTATTATTATTATTAATATTATTATTATTGTTATTATTATTATTATTATATAGATTTAGCCAGGGCTAAAAGCAAAGCTATGGTTAATAATACTAATTGCTGTTTTCGGTGTCACGCCATTCAAAATAGATCAAAATAAAAATCAAAACCGCTCAATAGATAAAGTCCAGAATCTGGGAATGAAAGGAGGTAAATATGCAAAGACCCGCGCCAAGATTCAGGTCAGAGGAGAATACCCAAATTTATAGAGTTTGTATGGAAACGCCATGCGGGTGCTCATCCGGATGGGCACCAAAATGGCGGACGGAAACCAACAGAAACATTTGTTACCGAGTTTTGCTACAAAAGCGTGAATTTATTCTTCGAGGAACTCATAAACATTAAAGTAATACTTTCTCTAATACATAAACTGTTTAGATAGCAAAATTCCCTGAAATAAGTCATTTTTTTAATCTACGTGACAACTCTCTTGGCCGTCATGTAAATGCCGCGTCACGCAAAAGCTTAGAAATGCAAGCGTACTCTATCACAAAACCAAGAACCCTTTTGAAGCGAAAATTTGTATGACAATTAGCTTTCAGCTGTCCTAATACATCGTGGAAGTAAAATCTCGGTAGGATCGATAGTTTTGTAGTTTGAATTTCAGTGACGTCAAGTGAAAACCAACAATAAACAAAAAAATAATAAATCGCGTAATGCTAAACGGGGACGGCAACGAAAATGGCATCAAGATCAATAGTAAGATCTAATTAGCAAAAAAAAAAATTTGCACGTGCAGCACACTTTTTTTCTAATTATCAAAAAAACAAATTTGGACGTGCAGCACGCTTTTTTGTCTTTCTTTGCCGTTGTTTTGCGTGACTACAACGCCGTTTTGTACGACTAAAACGCCAAACTTCCTAGTTACTCATTATTTTTATGGAGGAATTGTCGTATGTGCTTACCAAAGATTTTTTTCCTGTGTTCATGTTCGCTTTTATTTTCTCACTGCCGCTCATTTTCACCTGGCCGCTAGCATGTCTCATTTTTTCACCACCGCTATGAAATTTTCATGTTTTTCTTCCAACGATTTTCGCCACCCTAGCTCTTTCTCTGTTATCCACGTGAGAGTAAACATCAAAAATAACGTGGAAAAAGACACGATTTCGTTGGTTTTTTTCTCTCTAAAAGTCAGGGCGGCCATGCAATTTTTTCCGTTGCATTTGGGTTGCCATACTTGTTGATTGAGTTATTTTATATTGGTGTGCCTGTGGTGCGGACGGTCGGTCGGTCGGTCGGGGGGCGGTGTTAGTCACGTGATTGCCAAATTTTTTAGGATGGGTAGATTTACTTAGCTATGGGGCTCCGCACGCGCGCGCTTCGCGCTCTTTCTATTATTATTATTATTATTATTATTATTATTATTAGGAATAGTAGTAGTAGTAGTCGTAGTAGTAGTAGTGTTAGCAGCAGCTGCAGTATTATTAGTAGCAGCAGCAGCAGCAGTAGGATTATATTAGTAGTGGTAGTGGTAGTGGTAGTGGTAGTGGTGGTGGTAGTGGTAGTGGTAGTGGTAGTGGTAGTGGTAGTGGTAGTGGTAGTGGTAGTGGTAGTAGTAGTAGTAGTAGTAGTAGTAGTAGTAGTAGTAGTAGTAGTAGTGGTAGTAGTTGTATCATTTCTTAATATTTCAACCCGTCCCCCTCCCCCCTTTTTTTTGTTTTAAAGGTGGTAGAGCGAGAGTTAATGATCAAGAGATCAAACTCAACGGAAAAGTCGTGACCCCACAATATTTCTGGAAAGCTGTGTGTGATCCTGACAAGAAGAAGTCCATTGTCTTTGTTGCTGAAAATAAGCCTGGCAATACAGACCCTTCCCTAGATAACACTGGTTGCGAACTTACTTATAGGCTGCCAACCGGTGGAGCAAAGATTACTAACAGGATACCGCAAAAGAGAATGTTGGGCGTGATAAAATGCTCATCGCTAGCGGACGCCAAAGTTGCCCATCCCGATTTCTTATTACCACCTTTCAGTGCCATGAATTGTGGACCGAACGAGAAAGGCAAATTCCTGGACCAATTCCTTGCTGATAAATTACGAGTATTAAATAATTAACACTATCTGTAAGAGGTCAAGGCCTCTGTATCCTATCAAATGCAAGCATTGTATCAGACGTAACTAATCGATGACATTAATGACATCAATGAAATCAATAAGTAATCGATGGGTTTTAAGTTGATTAGTCATTGATTATATCCGATATTCAATGAGTAATCGATGAATAATCGATAGGCCACAAAATTTGCAGTCATCGATTAGTCATTGATTGGTTATCGAATAATCTCGCGGGTACGCAAACCACACCAAATCAAAAACTAGCAGGACGAACAACATTAGGGCTCGAAGAGTAATTGTTTTAGCTACTGTAGCTATGGGTGTTAATGTCACTGCTTATGACGGAAATCTTCCTAAGCCGAAGCAGCAGTTCTCTGCTGAGAAACAGCCACCGCAAGGGATTTCCAACCACCTGGATTATTCCTGTGCTTTCTAGAATGCCATAAGTTATTGCCAAAGAGAGGGGACATATTAACCGATTCACAGTATGAAGTTAGGTTATTACAAACTGTTCTCCTGTTTTGTTAGGAAACGTTTAAGTGCTTGAATCGAAATGAGACACATTTGTGGGCAGTACCACCTGTTAATATTTTCCCTAGATCAAATTTACTCATTTAGTTTCTATAAATCTGGATAAATCGAGACAACCACTTTAGACACTGGAATCTTTTACCCGGTAGGCACTCTGCGGTGGCTGTTTCTCAACAAAGACACAGACTCTAACTATGGCAACAACAACAACAACAACACAGACTCTAATAGCCAAGAGAGTATGATCGATAACTCGACCTTATCTGAACATTTCGTTTCTCATATTTCAGTTACTGTCCAATAAATAATTTTGATTTGCCGTTCTGTTTTCGTCATGGCCTATGTACATTGGTTTTCTACATACAAAATCAATTCCTATTTGGCTATTATTATCGTCAACAACTATTAACATAAATTTTCATCACCGGAAATAAGTTGAGGAAAAAAACTGCTAGAAATTGTATGAGATGTGTAATCAATGAGTAATCGATGGGTAATCATTAGATAATCGATGAATAATCGAACGCATCAATTACTCATCAAAATTTTTTCCCTTGCGGGATCTTTTTAGACTTAAAAAAGGCCTTCAGATACCGTCGACCATTTAATCTTGCTTCAAAAACTTAATCATTATGGCATCAGAGGAATTAACAATGACTGGTTCGCCTCGTACGTTCTATGTCGTTCACAAGTAACTGAAGTGGGTTTTAACTTATCTACCGAAGGCATGATCTCAAGTGGTGTTCCACAGGGGTCTGTGCTTGGTCCTCTGTTATTCTTAATCTATATTAACGATATTCACAAGTCTTCAGCAAAATGCTGTATGCTGACACTAATTTGAAATCTCTTGAAAAAACTGGCCGTCAATAGCCAACTGCTCAAAATCTTCGACTGGCTTAATGCAAATAAGTTAAAGCTTAATGTATAAAAAGTCAAACTATGTTATCTTTCGTCCATATGAACGTAAATTGAACTACTCGGTTAACACTAAAATGATTGATAACTGTACTCAAATTCCTACCACCCTTCAGTGTAAAGATCATGTTAAATATCTTGGTGTGCTAATAGACAACAATTTAAGCTTGAAATTTCATATTAATAATGTTGCATTAAAAGTAAGCAAAACTGTTGGTGTTGTTGCTCGTCTTAGGCACTTCGTCCCTACCATTTAAAATATTTATCAGTCACTGATATTGCCTTATCTGACATATGATTTGGCGGCTTGGGGTCAAGCGGCCAAAATCTACTTACAAAAAAATTCTCGTGCTTCAAAAACGAAGCCTTCGTTTTTATAGTTCCTTCCTTCTTTTTGCCCCTTTTCCCGTCATATAAATTGGACTGAAGTCAAAGCTGACTTCAATTAATCTAGCCTACGCATGCACCTCCTTGAATATTTTCATCACTACCCACCCCAAGCCAATCCTAATACTTTTCGTCCTAAAAGGACTTGGACTCCTTCTCCTCACCGAGAAATTTCTGCTTTGGTACATCTTCAGGTTTTATTATTATTTACTGTTTTGTTGCAAAATACCTGGCTGGAAATGGTGAAAATTTATTAAGTGCCCAGCCTCAAATAAGCGACTAAAGTGTTCGTAATGATTCGATTAAGCGCCCTCCTTCCAATAAGCGCCCCCTTTCGAATAAGCGCCCTTCTTCGAATGTGTTTTTGTAAATAAGCGCCCCTAATCCATTAAGCGCCCTCATTCTATTAAGTGCCATTCTAAAAATTTATTGGAACAAGCAGCATTTTGGCTCGAGGTCATGAAAGTCGGGTGTTGCCTGCAGGTCGACCCCCTTTTTACACTATCAACCAATTAGACGTCTAGTACAGTATGTTGCCCAGTATCCGGACACTTCAGTTTAACATCGCAATAACTTTCCTTTGTTAGTCGCAAGAGCTCTGAAATTTGGCCCAGAGAAAATCTATTTAGTCCTTAATATGACGAAAGACAGTGTAACTTTTTGGCCTTTTTTCCATCGCGAAATTAATATTTTTGCAGAGCTCCTATGTTGCCCAGTATCCGGACAGCTTACCCAGTATCCGGACACAAGAATAACAAAGTAATTGTGCATAAATTTCGACAGGCAAGCGACTTATAAGCTTCTCTTGAACTTGCAAACAGGGGCACCCAACGTCAATTTTCGGAAAATATCTGTTCGGAAGACGATTTGAGATGTAGAATTTTCGGAAAATTTGTTGTAAAGTTCTTGCTGCCTGCCTCTCCTAGGATTTTCGAACATCTAAAAAATGGTATAATTGCCCATTTTTAACATTTTTTACCCTAAAAGGGTTACCTAGAATTTTCGGGAGCCTTTTTTCTGGCTGAAATTTTCGAAAAAGTAAGTTTTGATCCCTATAATTTTCGGATCACTAGACTTTCCGCTAAGAAATCCGAACAGATGAAAAATTTTTAGGGGTTGAAATTATGCCTATATCTGCCGTTTAAATACTAAAATTCGTTTAACAATGTTATGTTTAAGTGGTTTTGAAGTATATTCTCGTTGGGTGCCCCTGTTGCAAAGTAGTCCGACAATCGATTCAAAAAATATAACCTAGCATCGTGAAATAAAACATAACAAATGACTGGGGTATGGTGGGGAACGCGAGCGGCTGTTAGATGGCATAATTCGTACTTCCTTGTCTAGGAAATTTTTCACTGATTTAACGAAGGCATCCGTGGACATGCCGAAGCCGCGGTTTGCAAGCTCAAGTAGCCAATCTGCAAACGACTGTTTTTCTTCATTTTTTTAATATTTAAAAAAAAAAGCTTGGGGAAGGGACCTCAATCCCATGGTCTAAGGTCACTCTCCCATTTAATCTGATCTGCAGTGTTGATTTCTTCATGCTCAGTCCCCACAATAAGCCTGCTTTTCTAGCACTAATTTCTCCTTCTTTTACATCTCTTAATCCCTTTGTGACATTTTTCAGACCGTTGCAACCCCATTCTAGCAGTCACAACTGGGGAAAGTATGACAATTCCAGGTTCAACTTAGCCTCCCCGCAGACGTCCTTTGGGGTTCGTTCGTCACGCGTTCATTTCTCCCCCACGGACGTCTGCTTAAACATAGCCGACATTTACGTTCACCAATCATAGGCCGTTTAAGGATTTTTGTAAAACGTAACCCGAGCCGCTTGTTCAGATTCGCACGATCAGTGAGGCTTTTGGTCGGGTGTGCGAGAAATTTGTAAAAAAATACAGAGTTACACAGATACTACATCTACTACAGATACTACACATACTACAAGTACTACAGGTACTACACCTACCACAGATACTACACCTACTACAGACACTACACCTACTTCAGATACTACACCTACTACAGACATTACACCTACCACAGATACTACACCTACCACAGACACTACACATACCACAGATACTACACCTACTACAGTCACTACACCTACTACAGATACTACACCTACTACAGACACTACTCCTACCACAGATACTACACCTACTACAGACACTACACCTACCACAGATACTACACCTACTACAGGTACTACAGATACTACATATACTACACCTACTACAGATACTACAGCTACCACAGATACTACACCTACTACAGACGCTACACCTACTACAGGTACTACAGATACTACACCTACCACAGATACTACACCTACTACAGGTACTACAGCTACTACAACTACTACAGATACTACACCTACTACAGACACTACACCTACCACAGATACTACACCTACTACAGACACTACACCTACTACAGACACTACACCTACTACAGGTACTACAGATACTACACCTACCACAGATACTACACCTACTACAGGTACTACAGATACTACACCTACTACAGATACTACACCTACTACAGACACTACACCTACTACAGGTACTACAGATACTACACCTACCACAGATACTACACCTACTACAGGTACTACAGATACTACACCTACCACAGATACTACACCTACTACAGACACTACACCTACTACAGGTACTACAGATACTACACCTACCACAGATACTACACCTACTACAGACACTACACCTACCACAGATACTACACCTACTACAGACACTACTCGTACTACAGATACTACACCTACTACAGACACTACACCTACCACAGATACTACACCTACTACAGACACTACACCTACTACAGATACTACACCTACTACAGACACTACACCTACCACAGATACTACACCTACTACAGACACTACACCTACCACAGATACTACACCTACTACAGACACTACACCTACCACAGATACTACACCTACTACAGACACTACACCTACCACAGATACTACACCTACTACAGACACTACACCTACTACAGATACTACACCTACTACAGACACTACACCTACCACAGATACTACACCTACTACAGACACTACACCTACCACAGATACTACACCTACTACAGACACTACACCTACCACAGATACTACACCTACTACAGACACTACACCTACCACAGATACTACACCTACTACAGACACTACACCTACCACAGATACTACACCTACTACAGACACTACACCTACCACAGATACTACACCTACTACAGACACTACACCTACCACAGATACTACACCTACTACAGACACTACACCTACCACAGATACTACACCTACTACAGACACTACACCTACCACAGATACTACACCTACTACAGACACTACACCTACCACAGATACTACACCTACTACAGACACTACACCTACCACAGATACTACACCTACTACAGACACTACACCTACCACAGATACTACACCTACTACAGACACTACACCTACCACAGATACTACACCTACTACAGACACTACACCTACCACAGATACTACACCTACTACAGACACTACTCCTACCACAGATACTACACCTACTACAGACACTACACCTACCACAGATACTACACCTACTACAGACACTACACCTACCACAGATACTACACCTACTACAGACACTACTCCTACCACAGATACTACACCTACTACAGACACTACTCCTACCACAGATACTACACCTACTATAGACACTACACCTACCACAGATACTATACCTACTACAGGTACTACAGATACTACACCTACTACAGATACTACACCTACTACAGGTACTACAGATACTACACCTACTACAGATACTACACCTACTACCGCTACTATAAATACTACAGATACTACAACTACTACAGATGCTACAGGTACTACATCTACTACAGATACTACACCTACTACAGCTACTACAGTTACTACAGCTACTACACCTACTACAGATACTACAGATACTACAACGTACTACAGGTACTACAGATACTACAGCTACTACAGCTACTACTACTAGCTACTACAGCACTAACAGTAGTGGGCAGTGGCTTGGGACATTTTGGGAAGTCTTACACCAAGTACTACCCCGAAATCAAGTCGCCTCTGAATGAGTGAAGAAATTTTCCATACGGAATGAGTAGAATTACATTTTACGACTATATCATATATCCTAAGCTTTATTTATAGTTATAGATATGAAATAAATCTTATTCGGATAATGTACACGGCTAATTCATCGATTCTGTACAGCAAAGAAAAAACTGTCCTCGCCTGCGAGCAAGCTCTCCTATTTGGGCAAGCGATGCACCCGACATCAATACTTTGTGAATGTTTCTGGCCTCCGTTATTCCAAACAAATCGAATTTCAAGAAGAATCAATAAAATTTCTGAGAACCTGACTTCTTTACGTATCTTCACGTTAAATATAAAACAGTTTCTTTGAAAATATCACCTATTACCTACCCTTTTCTGAGCAGCACTAATTTTACTGCGCAGTAAACAGCGTTAATATTAGCCATGAAAAGTTTACTCACCTGAACAGAACGGCGTCTTCTGCGACTGTTTCGCAATCTTTAAACTCGCCAAAACTTTTATCTCAAAGCTGAAATGTTCAGCTTTCATTCGAAATACTTTGTTTACCGAGAACTGAAAAAGGTGCCTCAAAAATTGAGTTTTTGTTTTAAGTGTCCGGATATTGGTACCGTCCTGATACTGGGCAACATACTGTACGGCGGCTTGGCTAGAGAATTATGCGTTTTTGATACAAACGCCAAAATTTGTAGGGATATTTACATTCCCAGGCTACTCAATTTCTGATATAGTGCCAAGTTAGATTGTCTAATTCCAGCTTATTAGTAGCAAACGAAGGTGTCAGATCCGAGACTTTGTCTTGCTTTCAGTTTGGTTAGATTTAATGCGCGCCTTATTTCAAAATACAGATACAACAATACAGATGTTAAACTTGGATACGAATTGTTATAGTGATTTTCTTTTCCTCATTATATAACATATATACGTAATTTGGAATTTATCTGCGCATACTTTTTCTCTTCTTTCTCTTGGTTCGGATGGTAAGAGTTTGCGCTATCTCATTCTAAATGTGCAGTGCATGCGACTCCGTGCAGCTAGAAAAGAAACTAGTCGGTATTCTAGTTATATAAAAGAGAAAACTGTCGGCTTAAAACGAGGAAGTAAGAAACAGGTTAATTCTAAGAAGCAAGAAACAGGTCGCTTTCCCAAGCTATTAACTGGTTAAAATGTGCTATTCGCCAGAAGGATGGAGACCGCACGACTCTGGTGCTGGATACCTTACTTTTGAGCAAAAATTAACGTCATATTATGAGGCGGAGGAATTGAGTTAAGCAGTTAACTGAAAATGTTTTGACGTCGGAAATGGAACTGCTTCCACTTTACCAGGGACTTTAGCAAGTCGTTTCTATGTGGGATAGATCTTGTCGAGATGTGTTCAACAGGATGAAACTGGATCGCAGGATGAAAAGAAAAATGCCTATAGGAATCCACAGCAGCAAACGAACACCCTAGAGTGTCTTTCTGTTCGCACGGAGAAGAAGCAAACATGAAAATGATAGTTCATGTAGCTATAACTGATGCAATAGAAAATGATCACAAGTCAGTCATGATTCTAACTTTCGCCCTTTTTTTCTCGCTCTGTTTTCCCCACTATCTTGGAGCCTCGAGGAACAGGCATATTTGGACTTGAAGGAATTTTTGTTGTCCTATAGGTCAAAAAGACCACAACCGCCTAACCACTTATCTCTTTGCAGAGGCCCTTGTCCTGACTAAATCAGAGTTTCTCCATGTCTTCCATGCCCTAACAGTGCGTGATACAACTCCCTTCTCCGCTGATCATAGAATGGCTAAAATACTGAACACAGATTTTTGCCAGTATTTTACTCATTAAAAGGAAGTATTGTTGTTACTGAAACCACGAACCAAGAGAGAATGCTTTCTTGCATGAACTTAAATACAGTGGAACCTCGATATCTGAAGAACTTCTATATAACGAAGTCCTGGGTATAACGAACGATTTTGTTTACCCCAGCATTTGCTAGGAAAATATATGAAAATTAAAGAACCTCGATATAACGAAACCTCGTTATAGGGAACATATTTTTGCCAGTCCCTTGGCCCTTCGCTATATCGAGGTTCCAGTGTATAAGAGTCACCGTACTTATTTTTGCGGTAGAGCTGCAGAAAGTGCGCATCAGCTGCATTTATTCCAATTTTTGAGCGAGGACTGGGGCGAGTTTTAAAAGCCATGTACATCTGTAAGTGGAAAAAAAGAATTGAAAAAAAAAAAAAAGATTTTATGGAATTTACATCGAGATAAAGCAGATGGAGATACCTTTCGTAAATCAGTCGGCTCTGCGCGAAAGCGCCCGATATCAAAACGACACCCGTCGTAGATCGTTCCCGTTCCGCGATGAGCTGATTTTGTACATTGTGACAGGAGTCACAGGTCGTTTGCCGGTCTTCATGTGGACTTTAAATGTTTCAATAGCACCATCGTCAACTTTGAGACAGAAGTTTATGAACTTTTGAAGCTTCATTGACTCGTCCAGGCGATAAACATGACGAAAAGTCCCAAGCTAAGCTGGTCCAAGCTCACGATTCTGCCGTGAGTCTCACGATTTTTTAACTTTTCTCACGACAAGACTTACAATCTCATAGTTTTGAGTGACATATCATTCTGAAATGAAATATTTCTTTGTACAATAAAACGGAAATGTTTACCGTTGCTGAATCGTAAGTGATTCTCCTCATGTAAACGCCGAGAATCGCAAGTTGCTAAAGACTTGTCGGCAATATGTTCTTCAAATGCGACAAAATCAGTTAAAGTACAGCTTTAACTGTCAAAACCATGCTTGTTTTTCTCGAATATATCTTTCAGTTCTTCATGAATAAAGCTCTACCGGCTTCAAACAGCGTCGACCAGCAGAATTTCATGGGCAAAAGTGTTAAAGATGATTAATTGAAAATTGGCTTCACTATTAGTTGTCGTGGTGCAATAGATAACTCATTGACGTTACACTTCGGAGGCTCGGGGTTCGACTCTCGCCGTTGGAAACTTTATTTCCTTTTTTTTGGTCTTTTTGGTTTTTTTTTTCTTGTTTTTCGTAAGACATATTTTCATTTTTTGACAAACTTGAAATATACCGGTACGCTAATTGCAGGTTAATTATCAGCTTGCATTTCTAAAATGCAGTAATTAATAATCCACTAGTTAGACTTAGGCATCATTTGATTAATGTATCTACCTTATCAATCCTTTAAATAGGTCATCCTAAAATGAATTAGCCCCATTTTTTAAATTGACTTTTACTTTTCACCTACAGTACAAACACGCTGGTACGTTTGCTAACCGTAATTGTGAAGAACTTTCTTACCCCCAAACTCCGAAAATGCGCGACCCCATTAAATTCAATCCAGTCTTGAAAATTCGACCCCATCCAGCAGCATATCCCCATTAGCCTCTTATAAGGAAGAATCCCCCGGGACCACAGCCCCTTTAAATATCTTTGCTACTACGTTAAAAAAGTACCATTTACCTTTCAGGCAGCCTAAAAGCAAGCTCTTGGAAGGATGGGTGGGGAAAAAACCTTCCTCTAATGCCCCCGCCCCTAGTGCTTACTTGCAGCTGGCTAGATTTCAAGACGGTTTTGCAAATTCAAATTTTATTTAAATCTGCCTTTGGTCACTACAGTCGACTCTCTCTTAACGGACACCTCTGTAGAACGGACACCCACAGTTGGTCCCTGCCTTTCTTTACTCCCTTTATTTCACCCTCTATAAGACGTACACCTCTGTAAATCGGACACATACAGTTGGCCCTTGTCTTTCTTTACTCCCCTTATTTCACTCTCTCTAAGACGGACGCCTTTGAAAACCGGACACATACAGATGGCCCTTGTCTTTCTTTACTCCCTTTATTTCACTCTCTATAAGACGGACACCTCTGTAAATCGGACACATACAGTCGGCCCGTTGTCTTTCTTTATTCCCTTTATTTCACTCTCTATAAGACGGACACCTCTGTAAATCGGACACATACAGTTGGCCCGTTGTCTTTCTTTACTCCCTTTCTTTCACTCTCTCTTAACGGACACCTCTGTAAATCGCACACATACAGTTGGCCCGTTGTCTTTCTTTATTCTCTTTATTTCACTCTCTATAAGACGGACACCTCTGTAAATCGGACATATACAGTTGGCCCGTTGTCTTTCTTTATTCCCTTTATTTCACTCTTTATAAGACGGACACCTCTGTAAATCGGACATATACAGTTGGCCCGTTGTCTTTCTTTATTCCCTTTATTTCACTCTCTATAAGACGGACACCTCTGTAAATCGGACATATACAGTTGGCCCGTTGTCTTTCTTTTTATTCCCTTTATTTCATTCTCTATAAGACGGACACCTCTGTAAATCGGACACATACAGTTGGCCCGTTGTCTTTCTTTACTCCCTTTATTTCACTCTCTATAAGACGGACACCTCTGTTAATCGGACATATACAGTTGGCCCGTTGTCTTTCTTTACTCCCTTTATTTCACTCTTTATAAGACGGACACCTCTGTAAATCGGACACATACAGTTGGCCCTTGTCTTTCTTTACTCCCTTTATTTCACTCTTCTTAACGGACACCTCTGTAAATCGGACACATACAGTTGGCCCTTGTCTTTCTTTATTCCCTTTATTTCACTCTCTCTTAACGGACACCTCTGTAAATCGGACACATACAGTTGGCCCTTGTCTTTGTTTACTTTCTTTATTTCACTCTCTATAAGACGGACACCTCTGTAAATCGGACACATACAGTTGGCCCGTTGTCTTTCTTTACTCCCTTTATTTCACTCTCTATAAGATGGACACCTCTGTAAATCGGACACATACAGTTGGCCCTTGTCTTTTTTTATTCCTTTTATTTCGCTCTCTATAAGACGGACACCTCTGTAAATCGGACACATACAGTTGGCCCGTTGTCTTTCTTTACTC